CACCGCGACCTTCATCGCAGTTACAATTTCCATTACCGGCGCAATCACCCCCACCATCCCCAGTACATTTATCCGCACCATCCCCAGTACAATCACCCCCACCATCTCCAGTACAATCACCCCCACCATCTCCAGTACAATCACCCCCACCATCTCCAGTACAATCACCCCCACCATCCCCAGTACAATCACCCCCACCATCCCCAGTACAATCACCCCCACCATCTCCAGTACAATCACCCCCACCATCTCCAGTACAATCACCGCCACCATCTCCAGTACAATCACCCCCACCATCTCCAGTACAATCACCCCCACCATCTCCAGTACAATCACCCCCACCATCTCCAGTGCAATCACCCCCACCATCTCCAGTACAATTATCCTCACCATTGCCAGTACAATTATCCGCACCATCTCCAGTACAATCACCCCCACCATCTCCAGTACAATTATCTTCACCACCGCCAGTACAGTTACCGCCACCACCGCCAGAGCAAGCACCCCCACCATCGCCATCACGGTTACCCCCACCATCGCCAGCACTAGCGCCCCCACCATCACCAACGCGTTCACGGTTCCCATCACCACCATCACGGCCATCGCCATCACTACCGCCACCACACCCAAATCCACGGCCACCACCTAAACCACCATTTCCCCGCCGCCCATCTCCGCCTCCAAGTGAGCGAGGGATTCGTAACAAGGATTAGTCATGTGAACTAGTGCCTTGGAAAGGGGGGTTGCTCAGGGGGGGGTTGTTATGACAACAGCGACGCATGACGTGACGTGACGATACGTGGCGAGCAATGTAACTAGGCAATGTGATTAGAGCAAAGGACAACGTAAGGACGATATAGGGCGAATTCGAAGGTCATCCTGCCTTCGAAGGTCCATCACGCAATAAAGAAGACTGGCTGGTTATGCGTGTGCGTTTCAGTTTTGATTGGTTGCAACCCGTGCTAGCTATCAAATAATTGTTTTAGTCCACCCACCCTTCCACCGTCGTTTCCTGGTGACGGAACAGTAATGGATGGGTTACCGTACATACGTACTCAGGGTATCGTATGATGAGCTGAGCCTGTCATCACCTCCATATCACGCCCTATCAAAGCCATCGACGCAGCAATCACCATAAATGATCGTCATAAATCAACAAATCTGTGCGTTCCATCGCCTGCTGATTAATTAGTTGGCTATGTTGGACATTCAACCGTCGCTTTGATTTGTATCTGGCGCCATATTCACGAGATGCCCGCTCGTTAGATGACCCTTATCACCAGGGCGGTTACAATCCGGAATGGTGCTGCCATAAGCTGTAGTATCCTGGGTATCACGGGATCCGTATCCACCGATCGTTTCTTTCCCGAGAAAGTCGTGACGCAACACAAGCAACTGCCAAATTTTCCTTCGAGATGTAGGTAAAGTTTGAGTTCCTTTCCTCTCCATCCCATCCCTCTGAATGCCGTTGTAGGCCCACCACCAAGACCGCCTTGGGTCGTCAGTCCGTTGGTAAACCCCCTCGTGACCTTCGTCGCCGAGTTCCCATATGTCAATCCTGATAAGTACCCCGGCAAGATGTACGGCGTGCTAAGTCATTTCAAGTCTATCGTCACGATTAATGCCCGACTACCGAGCAGAGACTATGTACAGGCGAGCATGGCTATTACCGCAGGTTAAACCCGCCTGCAGTGCTGTTTCCGTTATGTTTCGTTGCAAGACGATTACACAAGTATCAAAACGTTGATAGAAACATACACGTGCATGCATCAAACGACACAAGCAATGTTGTAGCGCGATAGCTACACAGTTATGATAAGTTCATTAAAAAATATGCAGGTCTAATTACGAATACGAAATCTTCTGAAAATGGTTAGGCTGTCAAGGAATTATATGTGAGAATACACCAGAACTGAACATCAAGGATCTGTACGACAGTCATTCCGGAAAATCCACGAACTTACTGAAATCGTGTTTGCTCACAGACCGATGAGGTTGTTTTGGAATTTATATTCTACACACGTTCGGAGCGATGTTGTTTACCGTGGTCAGTGCAGTGCCGGCCTGAGACAGACTTCACGTGTCTAATGGCACTGCGCTAAGCTACGACAAGCAAGGGTAGCTAGATGCTTCGCTTTACCTAAGACTAGAACTGTATCGATTCAGCGAGTTTTGTTTGAGCGTCTTAGGCAAATGCGCACATGCAATAGCAGTGCGCGGCGGCTGTCTATCCGGCAGCTTGCTGCTAGCAAGCTCGCTCAAGCAGTTAACTGTGTTAAAAAGGGTTCCACTATCTGGCAGATTTACACGAACAAAAATGCACAAACTCACAGGCTGGCCATGTCCTAACACGCTCCAATTGCAGCGAGAAGTGAAGATACACTCTTCATCCCTTGGGAACTGTGAACGCGCGCAACAGCTAGTAACAGAAAAAGACTGCTGCCGGCAAGCCAGCCAATCGCGATGCGTCGAGATTCGCTCGGGGGGAAGCATCTGTAGAATAAAGGTCGCCTGTACATCGCACCCTGGTATAATAGGTATAATAGAATTGTTGAACGGTAGGAGGGCACGGACGATCTATAGACGACAAAACGTACATAGACCTAACAGACGCGAATCCGTCCCGCCCCGCACAACCCTTTTAAACCTCTGTTTTAAGGCTCTGCCGTAATCATACAAATGAGCGAAGCAATATCGCCTGTGAATGCATGCCCCAATGCAACGCTGTTAATTGTTTTCCTTCCTCCTTGCTTGCTACCGCTTTGACCGATGCTTGGGTTTTATCACGCACCTTCAGGCGACCATGAGGACGCTCAACGGGGGACGGGCGCTTATCAGCTGCAGGGTAAGGTTAGGGCGTGTACATACCATATCAGAGCTTTGCATCTACGTGTGTCCCCTCCTTTTGCATGCCTCTCACATACGTGGCTGTTGGCAACCGAATCATGATCTCCATCTGTTGTCCGGTCTCTGGTCTCTTCAGGTTTGGTTTCCTACTGACTGGCGGGAGATAAGGACACAGCTCAACTGTCAGAGTAATGCTGTTGGTTGTAAGGATGTGGTGAACTCCTTTGTGGACGCACTTATGCGTTTCCCCAGCTCAGTGCTAGGGCTACCGACCATAGCGAACTACAGGAGCTTCAATGCAAAAGATGTCGTGGTGAGTGCACAAATGGCCAGTAAGCTCAATCTATCGATGTTATGTAATGTTTCCAGTATTGTTTCCCGGCTATGAGTTGCTTTCCCTTTGCGTGTTCGTACTGTTCCTTCTGTCATGCCATTCCTTATGGCTGGTTGCATAACAAATTGCGGATGCGAGGCGACTGCTTGCATAACAAATTGCGGGTACTGCTAAAGTTGCAAGTCGCAAGTCGCAAGTCGCAACTCGCAAGTCGCAAGGAACACGCAAAATTTCTATTATGATATACTATATACGCGAATACGTACGTGAACCACGCCTGTAGGGTGTAAACAGATAGCATTTGCGGCGTCCGCGTCTGCGGGCTATGGCCGATCGCAGGCGCAACTATGCTGAAGTGGCTTGCGGCCTATGTGGCTTCGTCTGTCTGAGCAGTGCAATGTAGCTGTCTGAGCAACGCAATGTAGCCGTCTGAGCAATGCAATGTAGCTGTTCATACGCACAAGCTCACTCAGGCCTCATCTAGTTCTTATCAGTATTTGCTTATTGTATCTCATCAAGTTCTTAACAGTATTTGCTTATGGGCCTTCTGGTGGGGTTCCGAGGACTTTCGCCAATTGGGGAGTCTAATTGCTGTGGTTGCGGGTTCTGAGCCTGCCCTTGGATTTGGTTTTGGATTATTTAGGTGACTTGCGTTGTCTGGTCTGGGTTGGAGTCTTGTTTGCCCTAATCGTATCAGGTGCAGTGCACGGCCTGCTGGCCCGCTGGCTGTACTCTTTGTGAGTCTGGAGCCCACTGTAACAACCACACTGCCTCCAGGCATCCCTAGCCCCGGCGGTGGACTGATAGGAACTAGCCTAGTCCGCACAAGTTCCACACAAGTGTGGGGGTGTCCGTAAGAGCTGGGGGGCCCATGGGCGGTAAATTGTTTTTAGGGCGGTTGCATGGTGGACCATCATCATCCACCCTCGTCCGCTTGAGCACGGAGCGCCTTAGAGCAACACGCCGGGTCTCCCAGACTTCCGAGAGGAACCTGGCTAGTGCCAGGGGTGGGGCCTCGGTCATAATCGTGCGCATGTTGCACCCTTGAAACATGAGGTCACGTTCGCCCGTGTACTAATGTACGCCAGGCATTCCACAAAGACATGCATTTCGTCTTCAACCGCCCCGCAGTCACAAAGCCTGCAGGTGCATGCTGTGCATTCATGGCCGTTAGGTTGGTTAATCTCTAACTCCCAACAGCCTAACCGGAAACATATAAGCATTTGATGCAAACATTGGGGCATGGCGATTTCAGGTGGTCATTATGGATTTCAGCACGAACAATGAACCCTGCCCACTCCCCCATGCCCCTTGCGGGCAAGCAACGGAGAATCGGGTGAGAGACCGAGCTTTCTATTAGGGCCTGGTGCCTTAATAGGGAGGGGTAGGGTCTGTACAGGGTTTCCGGGTTTCCTCGGTCTTCTTGAACCCTCACCCCAAGAGCCAGTCTTCTTGTGTGTTTCAGGCTCAGTGCTCAAACTCGTGTGACGGAGCCTTGACCCCCGGGGGAGGAGAGCGGAACTAGTGGACCCGCGGCTCTCAGCTGCTTAGGAGGGACAGAGGCCCCTTACACCCCTCTCCTGTCTGCGGGAGGAGTTTAGGTGGTCTTTCTGTTGGGGCTGGGCAGCAGTCCCTGGCCAGTTTCAGGCACGGTCAAATACTTGCAACACACGCACACGCACACGCACACACATACATACACACATACAAGCTCACGAAGTTGAATTGAATTGTTACAGAGTGGGAGGCTTCTGGGCCATTTGAACAAATTGTCACACAAGCTCGCGATATGCCAGCTGAACTGATTCCCGTGCCTCGAATGCCCTGGTAAAAACCTTCTTGCGGACGTAACCCAGCTCAGACAATACACGGCTAATATCAGGGACGCTCCAAAGAGTGCCCAGTAAGTTTGTCATAGCGGTGGCCAGATCGGAGAGCATTGCTTGGTCGTCGGCCTGCACCAGCTCCACCAGCGTCTGTGCAGCGATCTCATCAAACTTGCGTAGTTTGCGTGTTCCTGTTTGTCCTCTAAGCGGCAGGACATCGCCATTCGCCACGTAGGACTGTATGATGGCATGCACAGTCCTCTCGCAAGGTCTGTGCCCGAAAGCCTCAGCTATTTGCGCTTGCGTGTAACCCTCGTCGAAATAGAGGTGGCAAACACGTTCGCGCACTTGTTTGCTGTAGTAGTAACGGTTCAATACTTATCCCATTTTGAGATCCGCTCTACAAACTGAGTATGCACATGTACGTATTCGCGTATATAGAATATTATAATAGAAATTATGCGTGTTCCTTGCGACTTGCGACTTGCGACTTCAGCAGTACGCAAGACCGCACTTCGCCTCGCATCCCGCAATTTGTTATGCAACCAGCCATAATCTCTTGGGAAAATGTGATGCTTTCTCCGGCGGAATTATTTCAAGACGAAGCGCGCTCGAACGCTAGGGAAGCACGCATGCATGCCCGGGCACACCGCAAGCGTTACATCCTCTGGTCTGAACTATACCTCGGGCATATTCTGGTCCGATTGTGTCGTACATGCAGGTGTCTCAGGTGAATGCCACAATACCTGGTGTAAACGGCCTTAATACTGATGATGAAGGTGACCATGGGTTCCCATTACGTAGCTAGGTGCATCTACAACTTAACACATGTTTGCGTGCGCTACGTATCTACCCTCTAGATAGGACATCAGGATGCACGGCCGGGTTAGGCAGTGTTAGGTGGACGTTACCAGGATATGAATTTCATTATTAGGCACTCGCAGGCAGGGAGATGAAAGTGGCATGGGATGGTCGGTGCTGAATGCTTTTTAATTTTGTGCAATCCATGTAGTTCGGTACCAATTGTCGATAATAGCGCCATACCTTACTTGAAAAAAATCTTGATCGTGCCCTGGTATGTAATTAGATAGGGACCATCCATTCTATCATACCAGAGTGCTTTTTATAGGCGATCACAGATTTAGCACTGCAGAGAAGCGTGCTGCATTCCTTTGTTATTTCTGTGACACCATTTGGTGCGGACATCCTTGCTTGCTCGTGTGCTCGTCGACCTCTTTATTGCCGCCGGTGTAGTAATGCCATAACGTAACAGTGTTACATTCAATCTGGTAGCCCAAGTAAAACATGACCAGCGAAGGCACACCCCACACGAAACTGACTGATCAAACCTGCCCGTGCAGGCTCATCATCTACCGGAGGAACAGGCGGGCAGGGTGGAGGAGTGGATGTGGTGGATGTGAATGTTGGCAAAGGTGGCTCTTCCTCGCCAACCTCCAGCCCCTCGCCTGGGTCGTCCTCCGGGTCCTCGTCCGTATCATCCACTATAGACATGGGCACCCTGGGTGCAAACAACAAAGATCCGCCAACCATTCACGTGCAGGCAAGCAAGGGCGATGTGTTGGTGAGGTAATGTGTACTGAACTTAATAAGGGGACACGGGCTTCCGAGGGCACAAAGTGCGCACTATTATGGCAAAAGGGCCCCCTATCTAACTGTGGCCAGTTTCCTCCCGGAGGTCTTTGAGACCAGGCATGTCGTGCTTAGGCGCACCGAGCCCAGGTGAGCAGCGAAGAACAATGTCCTCATTCGGCCACAATAATGACAAATGACCGTCCATGGCTCCCCCGTCTTTTGGGGACGCCTGGGGTCCCCGCATTTGTGCGGAACTTATAATTTTGGAGTGCCCATGTCCGTTACTCGATACACATCTCACAGGGAGACACCGTTTACCAGTGGCCAGCCTCTGAATCGTCACCCTTCGTGGAGCCGCCTGTTACCACAAGCGATCCAATCGACTCCGTGAATGTGGCAACCAAGAAATCATATAGCGTCTGCCGACTACCGCCAGGGGGCCTGGACTCCCTCGTAATGGGTACAGGTGAATGGAACTTCACGGTTAGAGACGGTGCTGGGTAGTTGTTTAGGCACTTGTTTAGGCACTTGTTTAAGCACGTGATGAAGGTCAGGCAGCACATGCCCAGAACGCTTGCTTGGTGCGACGTGGATGGGGCTGAGGCAATCGAAGGACCGTCGGTGGGCGGACGTTAACAGAACCATGATGAAGGCTGCTGCATGCACATTAACGTTGCCGCCTTTGCCTCAGATAACGCGGGCTCATCCATGTTTGAAACATATGTTTATTTACCACTTAACTTCCTGGTCGTTCGTTTCCTTCATTGCTATTTGCCCGCCATGCAGAGCCTGGTGACCTGGATGTTGTTGCGAGCGGCTTAGTGTGCTCAGCCGCCCCCTCCCTGGACTCCTCTCGGCCGAACCAGCCTGGAGAGGCCTTTCTCGTGGAGTACCGTGCAATCAACAGCAGGAAAATGTGAGCCTGTTGGGCTTTCCAGCCGCCTTCGGATTATATTTCCCTTCTTCATCGTCCCAAACGGTGCATGTCAACCCTCCATATTGCATAGCTACCGTCTTCAAGCAAGGATATCTGCATCCGTCTGTAAACGGTCTTTTTATCGTTGATAAATCGTTTCCTTGATATAGTAAACTTTACTTTTGTTTACTAAGAGCAGAGTGGGCTGCTGTGCAGCCAGACATGTGAAACATATTCCTAAGTGTAGTGTTTCGTTATCGCCAATTACAGTGCCTAGCGGACCATGAACACCGGACCATAATTCTCGTGCGGTCCAGCACACAAGCTCACCGATCCGTCCGGCTGCTGCTGGTTTTCCATCCAACACTCCTTCCTACCTGCTATCTCTCTCCTGCTGTAGCAGCTGACCGCTGAAAAGGTCTCTCGAGTTGCTGGTGGTCGCGCTCTGCGCGTATTTATAGCGCCGTACTGTGTACCGGCTGCTACACCTGCTGGCTGTAACTCTCTCTTTTGATCACGCCCATGCAACCTCCCTTCATCCGCAGTGCCGCAAAACCGAAGCGGCTGGTAGTGGTGATTACCGACCCCTGCAAATCCTCCGGAGAATTCTGGTGCTTTACGTTGAACCGCTGCTCTGTGGCGGGCCAGTGTGTTCCCATCGACATCAATATTTTGACAAATAGGGGAGCAGCGGGCAGCAAAACTGGACAGGTGGACCCATTATCTATTTTAAGCGGCTCAGACAGCGCTAGCACTAGCAACTCTACCAGAGGGTGAGTTGGTAGTGTGGCTGTTTCTTTAGCATGTGACTCTTTCGGGCATGACGGTTACGTTCGTAATACTCCATCTTTGGAGCTGAGGTGGGGATGGGCTTTCATTCGGGACGTACAGACCCGCCTTGAGTCAACGACGGTTGGCCTGCTGGCTGAACAACCGCTTCAATTGCATACCTGCAGGCTGGGTGCAGCTAAGCAACACACTTCCCCTTGGTAGAATTCTGGGTAATCCTGGTAAATGTCTATGACGCACAAGGACGTTTAGAGGCGTCATGAAGCTCTTTTTTTGCCAAAATACGTTTTGGACACTGGCAGAAATAAACTGCAAAACAGCCCCTTCCTTGCTTGCCCAAACACCACATAAATATCATCTCAACTGCGGCCGTCACAACCCGTTTACAGGTCCAGTTTATCGGTTCCGAAAGACACCACTCCGCCGCGCATTCAGTTGAATGGCACTGGACGCACAGCACTGAATCTGCAAGGCCAGGCGCTCATGTTTGATGAGGTACCCTACTTGAGCTCATGGGCCCACCCAGGTGCGAAGGGACGTGAACAAGTAGGCGGCGGCCAACAACATTGCCTCCCATTAAACTAAATTCCAAGTGATGGCTCAAGTTGAGGCATATTGCATTCAGGAGCAATCGATCGACCGGAAGGTTGGGGGGATGAGGATGCGGGTAGGAGAATCAGATTGCGTTCATTATTATTACGAAAAAGTAAGAAGCGGTCGCAAGCCCAACAGCAGACATGCGTACACGTTACAGTCGCAAAACGTTCCTCTGGGCCCGCGTCAGATCCACTTTTGCAAATCATGGGTCTGTGGTACATGCATGCATCGCTGACAACTTGATGCAGTTTACCAGCTATCGTCTATGGAGATACGTAGTAATCTGCTGCGGATGGAAATAACTATGCTGCAGGCGCCATTGCAATGGATGTCAACGCCTATGGCGCTTTCGTCGATATAACTTACAGACTTCAGGCCTTCGGTGTGGCGGCGGTCAACACTAGTATTGCTACACCACCAGGGGCTCTGTACAGCTTTGCCGTACAATACACAGTAACTGACGAAGCAGGCAATGCAGCTATTCCCGCTTTGCGCTTGGTGAGTGCGAGACGATATATTAGTCGTCGTGCAGATAAGAGGGTTGGTAATGGGTAATCATACTTGCTTCAACGTACAGAATATCCTTCACCCTACGAACACGGAGGCGGTTTAAGAACGTTCTTAAGTCAGTCTTAGCCCAGCCAAATTGATAAAATTGGATAACCATTAGAATGTTCTAAGACGGTTCTAAGACCGTTCGTATGACCTCCGTTTATCTTAAAACCATTATTTGATATTCTTTAGCATTCTTTATGGCCCAGCAGTCTTATGGATTCTCTTTGATTCTTTAGGGTGTTCTTTTATACGTTCTTAGGGTTACTTATTTGATTCTTTGACTAAAGCATACTTAGCTGCTCTTTGGCGGGTTTTAACCATTCGTACCACTGGTTTGCTAAGTATGGCCCTCATCCTTAAGTCTTATCTTTAGGGAATTCTTTTTGCTGCTTACATTCGTAAGCCTTAAAAATATGGGAAGGAGTGTTTGTGATGAAAAAACCATGTACTTTTCAGCTACGTTCACCGGCCTGTGCTTCCTATAGCTAGCCTATCCTCAGGCTGTCGAATGCACATATCTCAGATAATAACTGATACTTTACGGCACGAATTTCTGAAGGAAGAAGCATATGAGCACATTCCATGTAGGTATTTGGGGTCGAAAGTATTGCTTTCACAAATTATGCTTGCACTATCTCGAATCCTACTGTACAAGAAAAGACTTATATGATGCTAGCGAGCCCGTCGATACTACCTATGTGTGCGGTTTGCACCAAGTGCCGTACCCTAACATATGTGCGTGTACGACAGACAACCCAACACCTGTTCAGCAACTCAGCTATCAGCCCTGGCGCCTGTACAAACCCCTGGTGTGCAGCCTTACATGGCCACATTCCTGCTGCAGCCCACCGCCTGGGTGTCCCTTCAGTGTCCCTTCAGTGTCCCTTCAGTGTCCCTTCAGTGTCCCTTCAGTGTCCCTTCAGTGTCCCTTCAGTGTCCCTTCAGTGTCCCTTCAGTGTAAAAAGAACCGCTTCATCCCAGTGTAAGAACGTTTAAGAACGTACTCCCGCATCCTCCGTGTTCTTCAGACGTTCTTATCGTTCTTAAACATTCCCCTAAGTTTCTTAACCCCCCTCCGTGTTCGTAGGGGGTCATGTTGCACACTCTAGCTAAATAGTGTTCTATCTTGGGCGTATCACGCACGGGATTTGTTAACCGCCGATCAGTACTTTTCTGTAGTCGCGATACATCAATTAGTATCGAGACTGGCTATTACCCAGCCCTGACCCGGGTTCGAACAGGTCTGGTGCGGTCTCCTGAACGGGAGGTGACGGGAGGCACTGCAGCCACCCCTAGGTCGAGGGCGCCCTCAGCTAGAGGAGGGATAAACGACGTTATTTTTGTTGTTTTTTTGTTGTTACAGAATGAGAGGCTCCTGGGCCGATGTTTGCACACATTTGGATTGTCACATCTAGGATTGAACACCCTACAGCACCAGCCACCATTACCACACTGTACCATGCCATACGAACTGCAAGTCCAAGGCGGTTGATTCTGCCTCCTAGAATCCCTCCACACCTTTCAAGCGAACATCCGGACAGATAGAGGGTTCAGCAGTCGCCACCAATCCAGTGTGCGAATCTAAATCCATCAAACTGTGACCTGAACTCCACATCGCAGCAGCTAGCCATAATCTCACGCTCCCGATAATGTCGGGGATCTCCCCTAGGACTTAAACCGCAAATTGCAGCAGTGTCTCTAAACCACACCAGACCACACCAGATTGTATCCTGGGGGTATCACGGGATTTTACATGTGCAGGTCGGTATTTTTCTGTAGTTATGATACAACACTAAGCCATGTACATGATATTTTGGAGCTTGCAATACCCAACAAATTGCACCACTGAAAGCTGTCCTGCCTGTAGTAGGTGTCGTACAAGATTATAAGTTTACAAGTTCTGCATTCGGGGAATGCGGGGGTGTCCATCAAAGCCTGGAGGCCATGGACTATATATCTCTGTGTGTGTATGTGTGTGTGTGTTACATGGTAGTGGGGGTGCGTACCCTGTACCTGCAAAACGCCCAGTACGAGCTGGGGGCGAACGATAGAGTTGTGGCGGGACCACATACGCTCCAGCATCTTCACCAGGCGTGCGGGTTCCCGCTTCATAGTGTCCTTCATATACTCAAAGCGTGGAAAATCCATATCAGATATGATTTCACCGTACACCATACACCGTACAGTCCAGCAAGACGTGCTTCTTATCTTCTCGATCAATGCCGCAGCAAGGGCATACCCGCACCTCCTTAGGCACATAACGCCGTCCCTTGCACGCGCTGTCGGCCGCCAACCCCCAACAGCAAAGCCCAAACTGCATAAGCTTACAATTCACTGAACGCGGGATAAATGTTGTGATATGCGGGAGCACCTCCTTCCTGCCCGTTTGCACAGCCGCCAGACCCATCCAATACTTTCGCGATGTGGATTCCCGGCTGCTTACCGTCTGACGGGTACACATCTAGCTGGACATCTAAGACGTTTATGCGTCCAACCGCATCACTCCGCCTCCTGAGCCTGTCCAAGACTTTAGCCAACATAAACGGGTCCCACACTTGACAACTGTACAACAGTATTGATCGTACCTGCGTTTCAAAACACCTCATCCTCACATCCGGGGCGAACAACTTTAGCTTATCCAAGTTTGGACTCAGCGTGAACATAGCTGCCCTAGCTGTGTCGTACAACTGCTCGCGGCAGTCACGAAACGGCCGTTTCTGGCCCATACACTAAGCCCAGACATCACACACTCTCCTTGGAATATGGAGTACACACTTTGAAAGTTAATTCCTATTGTGGAAACTGCGTGTTACCCGCTGCCATTGCTGTCATCCCTGGACGGCGGCGGCAACTATTTACAATACTGTGTGCTCTACTCCGATTTGTTTCGCACACATGCAGATCCGCATCGTGTGTATACCGCCGGAGATGTACTGCACGTCCGTTGATACAGCCACCGGTGACAGTGTGGGGCGTTGTACAGTCAGTGGGCTTTGCGTGGACCCCAAAAGCACTGGGGCTACCGGCAGCCGAAGCAGTACCAGCAGCAGCAGCAGTAGCGCTAGCAGGAGCAGCAGCAGTAGAAATAGTAGCACCAGTAGCATCGGTGGTCTATCGCTTGATGATATTCCTGATGCTGCTGTCACCGTCACGCCAACATCAGTCAACATCACCTTGCTAGGGCCACGATTTATAGAGATAGATCAGCATGGCTCTTTTGACAGGTGACTCATCACGTGGCATGCATGCTGACGTCAGCATGATATGTGTGTCGACACACCGTATCACGACCGCTTTTCCCTCATGCATCTGCACACTGCATCCAGTTGTTCTGGGGGCTAGTATTGTGACAAGCACACATGCAATTTACGCTGCAGCATACGATTGGTGGAGGGACACGGGATGGAGGTGGATGTTGCTATGATTGCATTCATACGCATTTACCTGCGTGGGATTTAGTGGGCAGGAGGGTGGGATCCTGATGGGTTGTGCTGCAAGAGCATCCGCAAGATGATCCTACTCAGAAGGTAAAGTTTTGAGATTTTATATAACCCTCAGACCTGTGGAAAATCTGCACGTAATTGCTTCTCGTGCTACTTGTGCTGGTGGCACTTCTACCTGGCTGGCCTGAGTATGCCACTAATAGGCCAAATGGGCATACGCAGGTGTACCTCCGTTGCGACCTTGACGTCAATATGCGACCAGGGAGCTGAGGCCACAGATCTACATGAGGGTAACTTGGACCGTAATGTTCTGGTGTGTGGACAGCCATTTAGGCCTGTGGCAGGTGATAAGCAGGTGCCAGTGATGTTGGCCTGTAGGATCAGGTATGTAGTACATTACGGGCATTACGGTGATGTGGGAAGAATAACGGGACGGGTAATAGCTCCAAATGCATCTAGTGTTTTCGTGCTGATGATTTAGGAGAGCCGTACAGTGGGAGAGCCGCAAATAGTAGGTAATAAAATGTATGCCAGTTTAGGAATTGTTTGCGACATGAAGTGGAGACATGTGCAACATCCTTCAAACATGACGGGAAAATAACCACTTAATTCATACCTTGTGTAGCTGGAAAGGTATTTGTTGGTACATGTACGACATTGCATTTTATTTTTGATCTCAGTAATGCATATAACTCATGTACCCCATGCTGCTTTCTGACATACGTAGTTGCTTGCGTTACCTTAAAACTGCTGAGTGCACGAAGGAGGCAGCAGCGTATAGGGTGCTGGGGCCCTGGCGCCAAGCCGAGGCATTACACTCAACACGAACCATATTCTAGTTAGCGAACGCAAGTACAATTATAATCCTTTATAATCCTGTAACCGCCCTTTCCTTCCTTGACGTTGCCTGAACCTTGACAGTCCGGATATGCCGGGCAACTTCAATCTTACCTACTCTGTTCGAAACTCCGCTGGCGTCTATGCATCAACTTGGCGTCAACTCACAATCAGACCTGTGTGTCCACCGGGAGAGCGGCTGTGTGATGATAGGGTGCGTGAACCGGAGTAAGGCAGGAACCATATTCTATATGCGTGCGCAGCTTGTTAGTCTTCACTTAAGACTAAGCGGCAATCCTTGTAGCGGTTTATTTAAGCTACCCGGCAAAGGGCAAAAGGATGTGTAGCACAGCATGTGCATGTATCAATCCTTCATAAGCATATGGTACCGTAAGCACGGATTAATCCTAGCTAGCATAGGGAAGTGTGCAAAACCTTTTTTGTGATTCATGTAGGAATTTGGACCTGCACCCCTTCTTTCCTTGTCGGCAAGCAGTTTCAAGGTGTACTAAGCTTACGCAGGTGTAATATGGTGTAATATGCTACACAGGCAGGATACTTGGGGCAGGATAGGAAGGTTCCACCCTACCTAGGTGCTGTGCACATGTCTCCAGTGTATTAGTACATGCATATCACAACCGTTGTGTTCCTAGCCTGCTAGCTCCTTCATCCATCGAAAGTTCATGCCCTGTGCAGATCACCTGCTCTCTGGACGGCGTTTGCGCTACAGACTTTCAGTTGCAGGTCAACCCATCCCAGCTTGGCAAGAATGGCACATCTGTCTCCACGTCGACGTCGTCCACTTCACGGTTTTCCTCCGTCCAGCTGGGCGCAGAAAGGGATGGTGGCTACGGGTTCACTTCCTCACTCATACCTTTACCAGATGACGGTGATACCACTAGCATTGACACCAACACTGAAACCCCGAACTTGGCCCCGGTCATCTCGCTCGTGACCTCAGACCTTCTACCGAAAAGGGTGAAGGTTAAGAGAGGCCTTGGGTACGTCTATAGGTGCTGCCTGCCTAAGCATTAGCAACGGAACCCGGGTTAGGAGTCCATGGGGAGCTTTTATTGCAGATAGGAATCTCGCCATTGCCGCTATTAAATTCGACTTCACTCGCACCAGCTAGGCGAGGTATTTCATACTCATCATAAGGTATTAGCTCTCTCCTAATACATAATGAACAATAGTCGTTCGGTGGCGCCGCCTTTATTACAGGTACACGTACTGCAATGGCATGGCGCCTGTCCCGGACGCCCTCTGCGAGCCCGGAGCAACTGCTACGGACCCGGATGGTGACATTGGTGGAACACCCCTTGACATCTCATCTTGGATTGTCGCCTGCCCGCCCCCTGCCTGCCTGAGTGGGAGCGGGTGCCCATCTGAGGTGTGAGGGATTTGGGGCTTCATAAGGCTGCTGCTGAATGGGTATGTTATTACTTTTGATAGGTCGTTCATGTTTCCTAATTCCTCCTCCAAGGAGGGAGTCCCTCCTCTGCCTCTAGACTACTAAGCTATCCAGGGCTGCAGTTCGTTCTGCCAAGCTTGCAACCTGCAACCTGATTGTCGTATCCCATTTCAGCTGACCTCCTTGCTTTTCTACTGCAGGTTCTCAACAACTACAGGCTGACACGCCGGGGCATTGGCGGTTGCGGCATCGACCCAATGGCGCCCGTCGGAACTGTCTATTCAGTTAGTAAGTGATTAGATTCGAAGGGTTACTGGAAGCGTGTAAGAAGGGTTCTGCTTCCTTGGTCTCCCTGAGTACTCTTGGCCTAGTGTTACATTGGTGCGAAGTAATTGGAGGCGGGAACTACTCGGATCGAATCCGGTTGCGAACATATTGCAGCAATAAATGCACACCAGGCACGATGCAGCATACTCTTTCCCCAAAGGTGGATGCCTGGGCGGGCGAGAAGTCTACCATGGCCAGTTGAGTAAAATTAAAGTCCTCCATCTCGGACGGGGACTGACGAAATGCCACATTATCCAACAAACTTACAATCCTTCGGGATCTCAAACAATCAAAATCCTACGGGATATGCCCGGGGGCGCCCGAGGACGTTCGTTCGAGGGGGGGAGGAATGTAAGAGGGATCAGCTCCCCTGGCATCTCCCTGAGTACTCTTTGCCTGGTGTTACAACTAGGTCATCAGGATGCTCTTCTGCGTATGCTCTGCTGAGGCTCAGACCTCTTAAACATTCTTGCTAAGATACATTCTTACAGATGGTTTGTACATAATCCCCGTTGTCATTAACCAAGTTGTCATTAATCAAGTGTAAGCAGTCACTAGCTGCTAATCCGTCCTTTCTTTGTAATAATTCCTACCTATTCCTGCCCTCATCACATGTATGTAGCCCTATGGGTGTGGGACGCCGACCGAGCCAATGCATCTGTAGTGCGGCATGTCGAGGTGAGCAATATGCGAGTATGAGTCACGTCGACTGGATGCCTCTTCAGGTATAATGTGTGAATACTTACAGCAAAGTTTTATGTATCATATTACGGTATATAGACAGGGTCATCATAGATCGGACCGAGTTTTATAAGTAGGTCTGAAAATTGAATCGGCACTCGCGAGGCTAGGAAACATAATCGGCCGGGCAGCAGCGTTATTACAAACACTGCTGTGCAAGCAAATAACGTTCCTAATTGTTTTTGTGACTGGGCCAGTAGGAGTACCGGATAATGATTATCTGGTAACCGGACGGGTCCTCGGCTCCGGTAACCCTCATCAGTAATCTGACATGAGGATACATTTTTCTCATATGTTGTGGATATGCCCGCAGAACGTGTGATACGTTATGTTAAGGTTAGGTACGGTGTCTGCCAGCCTATACAGGTGCACACACCATGTTGTTGAGTTGATGTGAGTGGCGACAGAGTCACTTGCCATATGCTAGCGTAAGGTTGCAGCGCTGCAACCTTGGATCCCTTGGCTTAGGGTGCTTAGGGGGACTAACAATATCTGTCGTACACCAACCGCCGGTCGTACACCGACCGTCGGTCGGTGTACGACATAGTCATAGTGCCAGAATCATTATCCTATCATTGTATCGTTACATACACGGTACTATGCATGGTACTATGCAGGTACTAGCAAGCAACTAACATTTTAAATTTGCAAATTTGCACCTACCGCCCCTCTCTGCTGCCTCCTGCTTTTACAGATTACGGATCCGTGCCCTGTTTCATACCAGTATGACTCAGCGCAATACTTGATGTGTAAGGATCTGTCGGGCAGGTGGGTGAACATGCTGCATCCCGTTGAGACATAGCAATTGGGATATGGAATTTCGATTCGTCCCGGTGCATCCTTAAAGCATACAGCAGTTCGGTCTTGCACCTCTCGATTTCCATGCTTCCTGCCAGCCACACTGCTGAAGCACACGCCCTCAGGTTAAATCTGTTGTCCTGCTCCGTCCGGCCCACATTTTGTCCTGTTCCATGTGCACCTATCGTCCTGTGGACAGGTACTACTGCTCACCAATTCCTTGCGATCAAGCCAACCGTTTGCGGGCACCATATAATGCACCACCCATCGTGGCCTTGGTCGCGGATGTGGCCTACATTGAGTACGGTGATGTTCCACCCTACTACATGGGGCCATGCAAGGCGCTCCCTACTGCTGCTGACACAGCCCCCTCATCCTGTGGCGCCTACGCACTGGCCAAGACGCTATATGCAGACGGTCGAGTGGAGATTGTTGACTTATCTCAGGACATCATGGTGACCAGTATAGATGACTGCGCTTATGAGAGAGTGTCGTTGACTGAGATGAGCCCGCCACCACCGGCGCTACAGTTTATGACAGCACAAGGCCTCCTCATAGATAGTCTGGCACCGCTCCAAGTACAAATAACAAACAGGACCAGATTGCCTGATTTGAGGACAAACCATTCCGAAGCTGCTGCTGCATCGGTTTGCAATCGGTGCCCTCTCGAGCTGCTACACCTGGGAGGAAAATGTCCACCTGGAACTTACCAATACGTGTAAGTAATAAATGACAGGCTCTTCAGGCCAATCTTGCTTCACACCTATGAACTGGCGTCGTACGACAGTCGCATGGTTCGTACGGTCGCACCTGATATAATTAATAAATGCCTTGTTATTTTCTCAACCGGACAAATCAAACAAGCGAGCCATGTCTGCCCTTTTCATCTCCCTAAGCTTACTACCGACCAGACGGCATTCCGCATGCTTCGTGGACATGTGCGCAGGTTTTCGGTAAAGTCACCAATTACTGACGCCTTAACCACAACGACGTTGACAGTACATGTGTACTTCCGGTCGTCCATCCGAGGCACCATCGTGCCCTTTCCACCGTACAGCAATGCTACCCGTGCCTACGAAGACATGGCTGCCATTAATGCAACAATAAGTGCCCTCATTACCACCGCCGAGGATTCCATACTTGATACCGTTGCCGCCAACGTATCGCGGGTGTACCGAGAGGCTATGTCCAATATATCATACAGCTTACAGCCCCTACCAATCGATGATTCTGACATCGTTGGACGGGTGGCATGGCTGGCGCCGGCAGCTCCCCCACAACATATAACGAACACAACATCCAACACAAAGTACACAGATTTATATATGGACGTTGAGGTTTTCGTTCATGAGCCGGCAGTCGTGCATGCTGGCCTGATTTTGGACTACAAAAGCTATGCAGCGCTGATGACATCAAGGGTCAGTGATTTCCTAATCGATGAGCTCAGCACCGCGTTTGATTATGACCTGGCAAAGCTCCCTAACGTCAACACCACCACCGGTAACAGTGACATCCTTACAAGGGACATTGCTGCAGCAGGTATAGACCATTCCGGCAGCAACAACAGCATGCTGAGCTTAGGCAAATCTGAGGGAGCTCCAGTTGGGGCCCGCCGCCGAGCTGGCTATAGCCGTCGCCAGGTGCAACAGATCTGGAAGGGAGCGAAGATTGCTGGTGTACATGTGCACGGGTACCGTGGGGCCCATGCAGCGGCTCCATTCGGTGCTTCACTGTATTCTGTGGTTTCAGACCTAGTAATGGAGCTTATGGGCAAACAGCAATCAGGCCCTGATGTGTTTCAGTCTTCCACATCCATGCAGCTGGAAACGCATCACCGCACAAGTGCCGTGGGGATAGATAATGACCCTGCACATGCTGCTACTGACCGGCAGAATGGCACAAGGGATAGCAGAGTTAGCAGCAGCAGTGCAGGTTTCAGCGGTGCTAAGGAAGCTCAGGAAGGCGCTGGCGATGTTACTGCTGCTGCTGCTGACGACTGGAATATTGGTGACTCCCCGGGAGACTTGGCTGTCATTGGGTCTCTGCCGGCTGAGCAGCTCCACACCAGGCGGATGCTCACACAGGAGGATAGTAATCCGCCGCTACCACCGGAGCAGCCCCTACCTCCAGACGCACCGCCAGAATTCCAAAAGCCACCGCTGCCGCCCATGGGAAACCTTAAGATCACATCCGCCACTAATGTGACTGGTGCAACAGTTCCCATCCCGGGGTCCCTTGCTGCCTTAATCCTTTCCCTGGAGGCATTGGTGGCTTCCTTAAAGGAGAAGGTCTGAGATGGGTTGGGGGGACAACGGTCGGGAATAGAAGCGAGTAAAGTTAGCGCAGGTTCGTGTGGGCGCCACAAACGAGCTTACAATTGACAGCGATACAGCAAATAGGTTTGATGCCCTTGCCGCTGCCGGCCTCGCCTCCAGTTTTACTGTGAGAGCCTGCAAACAATACAACACAATGACACCTTCAGCCGCTATCTAACATTCTTAAAATCCGAACATCCCCTCCAATAAACACCGGTGGAAGATTTTAGACATGTATGTATGTATGTATGTTACAGAGTGGTATAGCTTCACCAGCGGCCCCCTTAATCTATGCATGTATTTGTGTGGAAACGAAAGGAGCTCCAAGTGACAGCCAATGTGATGACACGCACCCTGCCGAACATCTACCTGGCCATGACAGGACGTGTGTGTCTCTAGCTACCGTCTGTATGTAAAACGTTTGATCATCTAAAGATCGTGCCGCCGAACAACACCAATCGCAGGCGTCGGTGGACGAGAACACCTTCAACCTGGTCCAGACCAACGCCAATATCAGCTTGAGTGATACGGCTCGAGTGTTTACAGCGGACGCACAAGACCACACAAGGATTTCTGCGTTTGCGGGACTTCTGGCAGACATGAAAACAGCATTGAACGTAGCTGTAAACGGGTGTGTATAAACTTGCGCATGTTGTCCGGCTGCATGTTGTCGGACAGTGGCCTTCTCATGCATCCACCGTTCGACCACATGACGGCAATCACCCTATCCGCCAGGGCTTGTTAATGCGAATGCCTTCTGTCCACGCTACATCGCTTGCGGCTCTGATATATTTTAATAATTGCCACCGCCTTCTCCATACAGGTCTCAGGTGGTCCTGAGCACAATGGATCAGCAACTGTCCGTAATGGCCGCCAAGCAGGAGGTTCAGCTGTACGAAACGACCGCAGAGCTAACTAGATTTCTAAAATGGACAGAGGCGCAGGCGGCACGTATAGTGTACGACACGATGGTCATAGAGGAGGCCACTGGATTATACCAATATGCATGGGTGACCTGCCCTGGTCTGTCGTACACCAAGCCCAGAGAAGTGACAGCGTGGGCATTCAGGTTGAACACATATAGTAAGGCTGGCGGTGTGTCAGGATCTTCAGCAGGAGCCGGCGCAGTACCGACCGTCCAAGTTAGCCCATTGGAGGAGGATATGCCCACGGTGTCCAATAATAACACCGCCAACCACCAGGTAAGCTCCATAATAACGTACAAAACAAGTCTTAGCTCCGAGCTAAGTGTATGAGTCCTACACTTGATTGGGTCCACTAATTAATTAGGCATTCAGATAAATATGCTGAGGAAAACGAGCCAAATACTGGAACCCTATAATAATGACTTGGCTGTGGGGAGGTTGCTGTATCGTGCTATGCGCAATGTTACAATTCATGCACGCGTGTGCGTGTGTTTCCCGTAAAGCCGCGATACGGAAACGTCGAAGTGGGTACACGAAAACCTTCATTGATGCGAGCTCCGTAGTCCAGCAAAGTGTAAGCCTTTTCCAGTAAATAAAAACTATTAGACATAGCTTGAATTTTAAGAGCATCTAGATGTTGAACAAGTGTGATATCAAGAGCCTGGATAAATGCCCAGCTCTGCACTGGAGTGGCATGAGTGGGTGATGGGCGACCAGAACTAACTATTAGATTATGCATGTAACTAAAGTCTATAAATCACACTCCGGTATAATCGACGGGGAACTCCTCATCTACGTAATATGCCGCAATCTCTAGAAGACCAACAGACGAAAGTCTCAACTAGATAGGCCTTAAAACTATTCTCCTAACCCGAAGGACAAAGCAAAGGGTCATGCTACCACAGCGCGCGCGATGCGACGGTGACAGGCGCAAAGAACCCTTGAAAAGCAGAAGGTTGACTCACCCGCGAACAAAGGGAAAATCGATGTTGGCGGAGCAGCAGCAGCAGCAGGAGTTAGTAGGGGTGTATGTTGTTGGAAGATGTGCGCATGTGAGAGCAGTTGCAAAAGCAGGGACACGTGCATGTGTGCATGTGTGTATATGTCTGTATGCGTGCCTATGTACATGTATGCGTGCATGTGTGTATGTAAATGATCTGAGCCACGATGCAAAAAGCGATGAGTGGTACACGAACAACTTTACCGAAGCAAGCTCGCTCCATAGTCCGGCTACATGTTGAAAAGACGTTGAACAGAAGAGTGATATCAAGGCATGTGCGTACATGTATGTGTGTATATGTACGTGTCGAGAATTGCTGACATTGTTACTTCGATTTTACTACCGTATTCGTGGTCTCGTTCTGCACGCGACAGCAGCACCTGGAGAGTGAAACGCAAGCAGCCTTCTCGGACCGGAGGCTATTTCGGTCATCACGGCTCGTGGGCGGGGTATTGCTCCATGCTGTTCGGCGACCGTTTGACGAGCATGGGCATTGCACCGACCCCAGGGCTGATTTTTCCAACCTCAACTTTGACTGCGTGCGGTAAGTGTGTCTGACAATGGTTAACATGGATATGATGAGAGCTAGCTGTGGGTCATCCTGCACTGCAGCTGCCTATTTGTGTACATATCGGGCCAAATCAAGCACCCCCTGGCATCCCCAGGGCGTCATTAAACTAAATACTTTAGAGCACAGAACGAAGCATTACCTCGGCGGGGGCGTCCAATGCCGCTGCACTAACCTACGTAAAACGGATGTTTTAACGCACTACAGAACAACACAACACTTAAATCTGTAACCCATCACCTTCCTGACGAAACCACCGCAGTCATTATATACCAGGAGAACGTGGAAATTCATCTTCTTTTCTTAAAGCTTTACTTGGCGGGGAGTCGGATTCCTTGGGCCCTTACGGCGTCGACCCTGTGTTCTTGAAAGGCTCATCCATGTACGACATTCAACTGGCCGATAAGGTCAGCCACTACTACAATACGACCAGTGGGTCAGCAGAGGTGTCACCTACAGGTGCACCCCACTTGTACTTCCATCGACCATTGCAGGTAAGCTTACAAACTAGCACAATAATGTGCATGCCTTACCTATAGGTAATAGCTATGTGCAATGCACAGAGGTAGCAACTCAAAACAGAAATGACAGCTCGTTGCAAACAGCTTTTTGCAGGTGGTCTCCTCATGTGACCAGGGTCAGGATTTGACTATGTAGGCGATTTGTCGTAGCTACCATACTGACGATGCGGAGTGGCAGCTACAGGTGCACCAAAAGCAATGCGTGGGTTCGTGGGTTCACAGCAGGGTTCGACACTGACCTTCCTGAAACTTGCGGGCTCCCCCGTACCTCCTAAATTTTCCTTACGGAGGGGCCCCCGTACCAGGCTCCTGTACCGGCCGAAAACTTTACGGGGCCCCCCGTAACCCCTGCAAAACCTTTACGGGGGCACTGTCCTTGGCTGAAACGCTGTGGAAAGTGACGCTTTGCATTTTTTTGCCCTGTAAATCGTTATTTTCGTTATTTTCTCGTGAACCATTACACTCGGGGACACGGCACACTCAGCGAAAGCCAAGCGCCTTGGCCGCCGCGGCCGCCCATCCCTTCTGCTCCTCTTTCTCGTCCTCCTCATCCTCATCATCATCAAAATCCTCATCCACGCACGACTCATCGGTATCTCGTTCTACGTCGGTCTCGTAGTCACTATCACTAAAAGCCTCATCGTCACTAGCGGGGTATGTTGCTTGTACCAGTAATTCAATCTCTGGGTCAGTCGCAACCTCCTCATTATCATCCTCTCCGTATGGATTCAAATTAATTTTGCTAACGTCAAAAAGGCTTATCATCTACTTTCTTTGTGGGAACAGGTTGGCTTGCAGGGTTTCCATCCTTTATATGGTCCGTCCTCTCCCCTACAGGGCCCCGTACGGCCTCTTATAAATCCTTAAAATCCTTACGGGAGCCACCGTAACCGGCCTTCGGCCGGTCCGGAGGCGATCCCGTACGGGGTGCTTCGCGCCCCAAAATCCTTACGGGAGCCACCGAAAAGTCCTACGGGCCCTGACGGGGATACCGAAAAAAGGCCAAAAACTTACGGGGTGTCGAACCCTGGTTCACAGCCCTTGCTTTTTACATTAGGTTAGGTACTACTGGTAAGGCACGACCACTGCCCCCGGGAGATCCCGGGATCGAGAACCATCAGGGTCGAAAATCCTTCCGATGGTGGAGGGTAAAGTGCCCCTAGCCGATGGACGGTGGTGATCTGGGATAAAGTGATCTTGCGAGCTGACCAGGAATGGAGTTGAGCCGCCGTCGATCTGGAAGATTCCGTTGGATGCCGGTGGTGGGTGCGGAACCTGAGCGATCCACTGAGAAGTTGACTAGGATGACTAGATGAGGGTGCCCCGAAATACCAAGGCAGGCAGGGTTTCGCAGGGTAGCTGCCACGGGTGAAGATATGGCCCCCTGTTCCACACATCATACTGTATGGCGCGCACATCATGTATAATTATTGTTCGCTAAAGCGCTTTGCGAGCACCTTGAAAGGCCTTTTCAGCGGCCAGCTACTACAGGTATAAAGTGGCAAGGTATGGGGTAGCAAGGTATGGGGTGCAAGCATACAACACAGGCGGCCCATAAAATAGCACAGGTCATAAAGGCTTACCATCATCCCCCTACTTACGTTTATCCTCTCCAAGGGTCTTCCGGATGGCTTCCCTGTGCTGCTGCCCAACTCATTGAGGGAGGAGCGGATGAGGGATGTGCTTACATATTTGAAGGTAAGCACAGGGAAAAGCAGTATTTGGTGGGAGGTAAAGATCATGGGTAACCGGCTGTTTCCCCAATCACGTCTATAAACTTTCGGGTCGTCGTCTATAGATAGGCCACCTATTCTTGGGCCTATCTATTATGCCGTGGCACGGTGCAGAGACCATTCTATACCATAAATCGACATAAGATCAAATTCTCGGTCCTGTCTATCTATTATGCGATGAACCTGTCTATAGCACATTAAACGATTTACGGACACAAGTGTTTACTAAACACTGGTGGAAGACAGCAGCAGCGATATCGATGGTGGCTGCGTATGTATGCTTCATGTGCATATAATATTAGGCACTAATCTCCTGATGCTGCCTTCCACCTGCTGCCGCACAGCGGCTTTTCTGTGCCATACTTGAACGCCATTTCTCATTTGCAGCTGGTCCCCAATCCCATGGCCGGTTTTCCCCCCTGCGCCGCCAGGATTCCAATTTCCTGGACCGCTTCACTCGTAGCCTGATCGCAGAGCTCCTGGTGTTCTCCTCTGAGTTGCGGGTGTTTGGTCACATGACCTTGCAATTCACGTGGTCTTATGATGGTGAGGCAGTTAGGGGGTTGCTTTCCTTAATGCATTGGTGAACGGAAATTATCATGCATCCGGACGCCCATTAGGTAGCTGGCATGTCAGTTGGAGTGGGTTGATATGACCGACTGATGACGCAATAGCCTCAGCACCTTTTCAATAGTACTACATGAGTCAACAAACACTCGCGGGAAAGAGGTCCTCCGAATCCGTAAAGTTAGTACACCCGATACGTAGATTGGGCACAAATCCGGAAATAGAAATACGCGGAATTGTAAACTAGTCACGCGTTTACTGGCGGAACTATAGAGGTGCGAGTTGTCATTTTACGGAAGGTCCTGATTCCCATTCACATTTTACGGACGTATGCCCTCACTTTACGAACTGTTCGAAATAATTTTAACTGTGCATAGAAAAATACATTATATAGCATAAAATATCGTATACCATAAAATAATTCGAATTTGCGTTGGGTGCACTACTCATTTAAGGCTTGTGCGCGCGCATACGGGGATGGCTGGAGTTCCAAGTAAACTCGACGGTTTCCGTTTGACGTTATGGGGCGCGCCCACCAACGACTATGACTATCTACCACGACTATCTACTCATCTTATGAGAACGCTTAAACTACATATAGCAACTGTCCATGCACTGAGCGAATTATGTTCCATACTACCTATTTCCACACCAGGCAGGGTACACATGAACTACAGTATCTCAGGACTACCAGCTCTCACCTATCTACAGGCTAACCCTAACTCCAACTCCTCTGGCTCAAGCTCGCTCAGCAGCTGGTCGTTGGTGGTGTCTAAGGAGCTTATGGGCCTATGGCTCCTATCATCCTTGTTTGCGATGATAGTAGCAGTGCAGGCGCTCAATGTGCTGCGGAGAGCCTTCACCAGAGACCTCGCCAAGTCGCAGGTAACTATCCGAGTGGGCCACTTGATGCATGTGTAACACGTGTTATGTGACACATGTGACATGGATGCATGTGTGACATCCGCCATGCTGGACGCATTTGGCGGTACCAGAGGCTGACCGCGCGGTCAAGGAACGGAATTGACAACCATAGCCGTTTGATAGTGGATTCGTTTGAGTGGCCTGTGTGCCCAAAACGTTCGCAAGCCGTTAGTGCACAGCTGCAGGGAGCTCGTTTTCAGCTTTAAGAACGCTGACATAAACCCTGTTTGTTAGTGCATTGACTAGTATGTTCTTCCGGTCATGAAATATCTCTGGAGAGAAGTCGATGCCAGCTCGCTTCTGGCACCAAGCACAGAACCTGACTTGCATTTTTAGATATCCAAGGCGTGCGTGATTTTGAGCGAGCCGTGCAAGACACGGAGAGAACTATGTCATAGCGGTAGCGGCCTAGGTGCGCCTGCTGGCAGTTATGGCAGCAGATCGCGACGGTGTATCAGGCTTGCACCTTTTGCCCACCCTGCAACTGCCATGTAAGCAGATGTGGACTCTCCTTGCCAACCTACTTGTGGATATGGCTGTGGCAGGACTGCTGCTGGCATCATCGGCTATGTGCTCCTGGTATGTGCATATTGTAAGGAAAAAGGAAAAATAAAACATACTGAGTCAACTGAGGCACGCTCATATTGAGCGCATTTGTTGGACTATCTGCTACGACATTTTAGACTGAGGTTTCGTTATGTGTTGTATGTAACAGCTCCTCACTGCTGAAAGCATGTGCCATACACGCCACAGGTACATGATTTCATACGCGTCTGCATTTTCTGCTCGTCAGCACTACCAGGTCTACGATGGCATCCATACAGCACGAGCAAGGTGGCTACTGCCACGCAAGGTCGATCCGTGGGACATCCCGGCAAACTCCACCCAGGCTGAAGTGCTGCAGGTATGCAGGCGGAGCAGTAGGCATGCAGCAGCTAACCTGCAGCAGTGGGGGCTGAGACTTCAGCGGCATGCACTGCAGGGGTGACACATATGGACGCCAACACGGGCTATCCTGCTGCCTGCGTCATCTCTGCCTGCATGTGTCGGCAAAATGAATTTGTACCAGTCGAAACCTCCATTTGCTATACTTGACAAATAGGCCTGCAGTGACCTTCGGGCTGGCTGAGCTTGGAACGTGCTGGCACCCTATTTGTTAACCAGTTTCCCTTTTATTATGTCCTGTATCTTTCTGATATCCTACCCTGCAGTCCGAATTGTTGGCCATCAACATTACTGATAGCCCCTCGGCGGGCAGCCCAGGCCGTTACCTGCTGCCTGACCATCCAATCAATGATTTGGACGAACTGGCGGGCGTGCTGGCCACGATGCGCGGCATGGAACACATGTGGACAACGTACGGCATCATGCAATCAGTTACACTGGTGCTACTGATTGGAAGGTGTGTGATTATTCTACTGATGAATTATACGTATTTGCTAATCAGGTATTCGCCAATGTTGCCAAGCGAACTTAGGGTTTTAGGGTTTATGGGCATGGGACAAGGGATGAAGCATGCACATGAAGTATATATAGTTACAAGCAGCCATTTGTGCATGCATATATGCTACAGTAGTACTAGTAGTACACTAGTGATGACTAAGTCGAGGCTCAACCATGGTGCAACTACATCGTCTGCTCTTCTGCTCTATCTGCGGGCATCTGTAGCTTTACACAAATTTGCACAGAATTGCAATTACCACGCTCTGCTGCTGCAGCTGCTGCATGCCTACGTAGGCATATGCGCCTACACCAATCATCAATGTCTTTTTCCTCCATGTCGTCTCCCCCTTCACACATTGCCGACCTGTAGGCTGCTGTCCACGTTGGCCTTCCAAGACCGTATGGGGTCACTGGTGCGGGCCCTGTATCACATTGTGCCTCCCTTGGTACACTTGGTGAGGACTTTCATCCAGTAGCTATTGTTAGGCAGTTAATCGGAGGACAACAAAGCTTAGCTTTAAGGTGCACGCATTCAAGTAGTAGGCAAGACTCGAAGCCCACACCCTGAGAGGCGGCACTGGGCACCACAACTATACTGTGCGACTACAAAAGACCTGCCAAGCCCTTAAATGCTCTCCTATCTCCGTGTCTTATCTTACTTGGCACCTCGACTTATCCAGTTGCCATGTACAAACATTCCCTTCAGGCCATTCCACAATGCTTACACCCTTCCACCTCTCTCATCGCCCTTACCGCACCGGCTGCAGATGGTTCTGCTTGTCTTGATTTCCGCCATGCTCGGTGCTATGGCCCTTGTAGTTCTGGGGACCTACGTGGGAAAGGTTTCCACTCTCTCCGGTAAGGAAATCTGAGCACAGTAATGCTACTGCAGAGGGCGAACATCGCAGCCCAGCGAGGGCAATGGGGTAGGGGTAGGGTCAAGTATTGAAAATTGACATGACGGGTACGAAAGGCTTCGGGAACGGAAGTGGTTGAGATGTTATGTGCAGGTAAGGGCAGGAACGATACAATTCTATTATTGCAGACCTTTAAAGATACTTTAGTAAGCCAGAGCCTACGCGAAGTTTTATAACTATTTGTTTGTTAGGAAATTTAAGCCCTTTATTACTATTGAGGATACTTATTTTGCTGCTAAAAATTTAGATCTTTATTTTTCTCTGGAGAGTCATTGTTTACGTAAGGGACTGTAGATAGTACGGCACACACTGTCAGTAAAATGTTCCATCACGTATAGGCGACGCTCTCGTATAATAGGTAGGGATAATAGGTTGGTGGTCGAAATTTTTTACTGACGCATATCGTCTACGAATACACGCGAAATATGGCGCTCTTATGAAGCCTTTTCAGCGGCCAGCTACGGACTACAGGGACATCGCAAGATCTGCAAGTGCTGCCCCAACGACTTTTGATCCTTTGAAATTTAGAAGCCCTAATATCACTAGTAAATATCAAGGAGTTGACAGTAGTGCGATCTACGCTAATTACGGCGGCCAGCATGCTGCGCAGCTTGTTTCCGCACAACACAACACACGCAAGCTTTCTGTCATGTATGTATATGAAACGATTAGCATGTGGCATGTGTTGAGGCAGCCATCCATTGCGTAGATAGATGCATGTAGGATTGCTTGCAGCTTATCATGCAAATAAATCCCCATCCTCCATGTCAGCGAACTGTCTGCATCATGCCTACGCCTCACTTGCACCTGTAGTAGCTGAAGATAGGTACGGTACACACATTTTCTATAAATACGCGCTTCAGATCAGCTGATAAGGTGCTCCACGAGCATCTTCAGAGGCTTTTCAGCACCCAACATTTACGTGGTCCATGCAGGTGCCATCGAAAGCACCTTGGGGTTGCTTGTGGGTGAAGGTGTGCTGCAGTCATTCAATGTGCTGCTACCTGCGAACACCGAGTTCAACGGAGGCCAGGTGTGTGAAGTGTGCACACAGCCCGTGTAGTAGTGGGCTTGTCGAGGTGTATGCGGCTGCTTGAAGGCGGAAGGCGGAAGGCGGAAGGTGGAAGGAAATGAGGAAGCAAAGCTGGTAGTTCGTCGAAGTCTGGGTTGAAGTTGCGTGTTTAATTGCTCTGAGTGTGGGATGCATTGGCTCCCTCATCACTACTGCGTTGAGAGTGGCATCCACTCGCCATGCACTACTCCAAACTCGCCCACGCGCTTGCTGTGTCCTGCCTGTTTGATTTTGAGGTGGACCAAGTGGGTCAACCTCAAAATCCTCCGACCAGCATATTACTTATTCACATACGTAAACTCACTCACATAATCCTCCCACCATCTTGACTCATTCGATCGTGCAGCACTTGGCTGCCAGCATGGTACTGTTGTCCCAGGTTTTCCTGCTAACCTTTATGCTCATCAAGTTCTTCTTCTCGGTCATTGTGTTCACGTGAGTCGTTTCGGAGACCACATGGGGTGGTAGATGGATAGTCACGCCGTCTCGGGTCGCCCCGGACTACCAAGCATGCCTTGTTTAGTCACGCTCATGTGAATTCCGTATAAAACTTCACATCATAACACGCACGCAGTACACCACGCTTCTGCTTACGATTAACTATGTAGTAGGACAGTAAACATAGGATGCACCTTAACTGTTACCACCACCAGTATACAGTGGCTGCAAAGCCATGTGATGTCGCCGCCCCTCAAGCTGTACATGGATACATGACGCACTTGGATTCCCTGGATAGCCACTCCTTGCTCTGTCGCCCCATTTCGTGTGCGTATGCAGATTCCGCACGGTTAAAACGACCAGGAGATTCACTCACGGAGCCACCATGTGGGAGGTATGGCTGAGCGAGAGGAGTTGGGAAAGAAAGGGAATATCTTGAGAGCATAGACCAGGCAAATTGTGTGGTATCTGGTTGCTGAAGAGGCCTCGAAAGATGCTAGCGCTGATGGAGCACCTTCGCGCGTAGTTGTAGATGTGTGATGATATGTGTGCCGTACTATGTACAGCTACTACAGATTGGGAGGTGGGGATGCAGTTTTCGGGCCAGGATAGGGGTCAAGGTATTTGTGCACGGCGATTTGTTTAGGCATTCCAGAAGCAGCAGCGTTGATGTATCTGAGGGAGATATGCACAGGCGGCTTTGATGTGCAACATTTATTGAGCAGCAGCGATTGTGCTCATCCGAAGAGCTCCTGGCACTGCCTCCGGGACGTATATCTTGTCAATATGCTTCCCAACCTGCCACCTCCAGTGCTAAGGGTATTCTTGTTACCATGGGCCTCCTATGTACGAATATGTGCATCTGTCTGCCCCGCCATCCTACTCTATTTTCCTACCCTCCACGACAGGATTTCCAGCTGGTCCTCAACCCAGAGTTGTCCGCCACCACACAGAGCTGGGCCCACAAAGTGAAGTGCGTTATACTGAAGCTCAGATGCAAACCACCACCGGAGACACCCGATCCACCATTCACAAACCGAAAAATTAATCAAGTTGTACGGCTGGGCGCTTTAGTGGGGACGGATGTCCGGCCTAAGGAGAAGCACAAGGTCCGTGCCATCCTGCTGCAGGAGAGAATCCCTGTTGCAGAGGACATGGCTGCAGCCTTGACTGCCACAGCTGCTGCTGACTCCAATCCAGGAGCGAAGCGTAACATCCAGGTCCAAATCCTAACTCTCCAAGCACTGCAAGCACTGCTACGGGCATGTGCGAACCAGCGGCATAAGCACTGGCGGCTGCAGCAGCATCAGGATGAGGACTTACGCGAGCTGGGGCTTATGGGAGTGACGCCAACCGCTCCCAGCATGTGGCCCCCGGCTCGTTGGACATCGTGCAAATTTGGCTTGTCATCTTCAAATCTGCGCAATTGCGCGGCCCGCATTCTCCGCCTTGCACCGGCAGATACCAACAAACGCGTCATGAGGCACAACGAAGCATTCCGCCGACGATCTATATCTTACCTGTCTCCGCCATCCCCTCAAGTTGTACAGGAACAGCGACCACAGAGGCTGTCAGAGGACGACGTGGCGCCGCATTCACGGCCACATGCCTTGTCCGCATTGTTACCTCTGACGGGATCCACCGTTTCATCTAACAACCCCATGTATACTGCTACGGAATCCCTGGCGGCATCTGTAGCTGAGCGGCTCATGCTGCAGCAAGGGCAAACTTTCCACACATCCCCTGAGCCAACCGATGGTAAGCTACAACATACATCAATCACACGGAACGGTTACTGCATAATGCCATGCATTTCTCAGTGCAGGTGCACTTCAGTGTGACGCATGTACCTGTTCGAACATTACTTCAGACCAGAGAACTGCAGTTTAAGGGTTGGGGTAATTGGTGGTACCTTAGATGGATTGAATCGGTTCATGGCCTGCTGAAGTAGGCCCTTACGACACGCAACCTTCCAGTTAAGAACGTTAATAACTAATTACTTCTAATTTTAACCTTCTCTGTCATTACACCGTCGTGCATGTGTGCTTACAGGGCCCATTAAGAGGCGATCTACATTATGTGGGAAGCATGGGGTGTTGAGGCAGCAAGATGCTGAGTCCGTGCTTGAGTACAAGCCTCCCCCAATGCAAAGCTCATACCCGGGGGGCAGCAAGGGCATGAGCCGGCTGAAATTCAGAAGTGGACTGGACAGTGGCAGCGATGGCGGCGAGCCCCTGCATACCAGTGACCTCTCCAATATCAGAAATGAGGTTGAATCGAATCGGGATGGAACCCGTGAAGGCGCAGAAACGACGCGCCTTCTTGCCCTTTTCGGAGCACTGAATGAGTTTACAAATTCAATGCAGAAGTGGCAGGTAGTAATAATTTTGCGCGAATCAAATGTTGACAGACAGGAACAGGCGAAGTTCATGTACTGCTGGGTAGAGACCACTTCGTTCAATTTTAAGGAATGTGTACGGGAAGATATCAGTACGTCACTAGGACATGATTTACGTCCACTGTCAGTACCTCCACTGTCTCCCCACCACATTCCACATGTGGCTAACCTACCTGCCACTTAGCTAATGATGAAGGGGCTCCAAGCCGCATGCATGTTTGCCTGCCTGCCTGTCTGCTGCATTCAGGCGGGGGTGCAACGCTGGCAGCTCAAGATTGTTAAGCAGCAAGACGCCATGAGAATGCAGGTACACTGCCAGCAGTACCACTAATGCCTACCTATTCATGGTCCTTGAGAATATAAAATGTGTATCCGTATACATGTACATACACTCGCAACGTCAATGTTAAGTTTAAACTCTCCATATTTTCCCGTGATCATGTATGCGTCCGTGTATGGTTACAGACCCTATTAAGACATACATGTATGTGTGTGTGTTACATGGTTTGGAGGTGCGTGACCCCACACCTGTAGAACTACCCATACAAGCAGAGGCATATTCTTTTTTATTCTGTGCATCCATATACTATATGTCATACATATTGTCAGTAAACATTTTGATCACCTACACGTGACACCCTCGTGTAATAAATAGGTAGGGACCGTCCCTATCTATACCAGGGTGTCGCCTACAGGTGAGCAAAATTGTACTGACTACGTCTGACATGTAGTATATGCATGCACAGAGTGATTTTATTGCCTTATCATGACAACTATCATGCAACTTGACCCTGTCCCATTCCTCCCTCCTTGACCACACACATCACTGCCGCCAGAACTCTGCAATAATTTCTTCACTCAAGGGAAGAACAAACCTAAACTTGCCAGTCAAGCTGTCTATCACGCCACGAATAACTTATATCCAAGCCAATCCACTTGCCGGACCAACGGACTCGATCAGCATGCAAGGGGAAGCAATGTTACAAAGGACTGACTCTATGAAGGATTCAGAAGGCATGAGATTGGCCTCTGCTACTGCTGCAGCAATCACAGCCGTTGCTACAACGCTAAATGCCACTGGCCGAACTGATAGCAGCATCAGGGGCTCATCAAAGAGGCATCTGAGCCGGGAAAGTGGCAGGAATGGGCTGGGCGACGGCCAGCCTTACAGCAGCGGTAACACGGATGTCCACCAGCCATATTGCTCACCGGATGGAAACCGCGTGGGCTCAGATGGAAACCGCGTGGGCTCTGCATATCCCAATGGGCAATACACTGCAGCCGACGCAAACAGCAACCAGCAGGGAAATACTAAGGAAGATAGTATCCTGGTGGATGGCAACAGAAACCCCTCCGTGCAACAGGTGCATCACGATGAGCGATTGCGGCGCAATGAGACTCTCCAGAGGATGCGTGTGCCTGCAGTGGCATCAGGTTCAGGTCGGCTTTCCAGGAAATCGCTGGCATGGTCAGCCAAACCACAACATAACTGTGAATCGGCTGTTGCACAGCCAGTAGGTATCACCAGAGGAGCCAGCAGCAAGTCCGACACAGCCGTCATGGACACCAGGGCTAGCTTAAATGGAGGAGGTGCCACCACAGTGGCCAGCAACGCAGATGCTGGAGCTTTAGGTGGTGACCACCGCGCTTTGGCACCATTGGGACCTGCACTCTCACTAGATAGGGCCGCCTATGCCGACCTGGAGCCATTAGTGAATCCTTTTGCTCGAAAGAATCCCCCAACCTTTGTGGGACCACCAGCAGGCAGCAGAGGTGCTGAAGACAAAGCTGCTGATGCCTTGGCGGATGGACGAAGACAAAGACCCGGGAGACAGTCCTTAGAGTTGTTAGTGGAGCCTGCATCTCTCCAGTCATCATCATCGCCGCACGATACTGTTTTGCCACCCCCTCCACTGCAATCAATCCAGCATGAGCTGTCACTGCAGCAGCAGTTCTCACTTCAGCTGGCGCCATCTCCCCAGCAGCAATCATCCATGCAGCATAAACACGTGTTGCAGAAACAGTCAATGCAGAAACAGCAGCGACTACAGGAGATGCCAGAACCGGGACTTGCAAAGTCATTGCAGCATGAGCCAGTCGCTGCAGCTATTGACACTGCAAGCCCAAAGCCACACATATTTGCTGTGGAGTTGCCTATGGAAAGGGATGAGCTCGGTAGCAACAATGGCGACGTTGGCGGTGGGAGCACATCAGCCCAACAGAAACCGCCCTGCCTGGCTTCACGTGTTCTTGACAAGACGGATTTCTCCATGGCAACTGGTGGAGGGCTACCCGGACCTACCATGGCCCAAGGTAACAGTGGAACAGCACACCCAGATCCTATTGATGAAGTTCCAAAGCCACGAATTTTCCTGCAAGACTTCTCGGTCGGGACTAGGAGCGGATGGGTTGGGAAAGATGACGATGTCACTACACCACGGTGCAAAGAGCCCTCTGATGCACCCCAACATGCAGAAATGCAGAACCTATCCGTTTCAGTTGAACGAGTGGCCAGCGGAATTTCCACAATCGAGGGCAACACTGATAATGATGGAGCATACAGTGAGCGCAGCGGCCGTGATAGCATTACATCTGGCTGTGACAATGTGGGGTCAGCATCATCTCCTCATTCACCGTGGTGGTCCAGAGCGGCCCGGTCTTTGTTTGGTGCAAAGGCTATGGGTATTCCACAGGCCAGCCCTAGCGAGTCACGGCTAGACATGCCAACGCCACGGTTGTTAACGATGGATGCTGATAGTGTGAACAGTACTTCTGCAAATGCATCTAATGATGCAGATCCTCGTGCCGCTGAAGTGCGTCCTGGCTACCGAATGGCCTGGACAGGTCAGCATGTGAATCAGCCACAGGTTCATCATCAGCAGCTGCAACTGCAACCACAGCTTCAGCAGAAAGAAATACAGCCGCCGGTGCCACCAATTACCAAGCCACTGCAGCCTGTACAGCCGTTTGCACCACAGGAGCCTTCCTTGCAGAGGACGCAGCAGGTGGTGCGACAGCCGCTCTTACAGCCGGTGCAGCAACCTAATGAACAAGGAGTATTATTGCAGCCTGGGCAGCCTCTAGGCCAACCGTCCTTGCTGCAGCCTTTGCCGCTGATTGTAGAGCAGCCACCATTGATGCAGCCAGTATCACAGTTTGTGCAAGAATCACCGATGCAACTGCTGCAGCAGTCTCTGCAGCAACATCATGAACAGCCGCACCTGCAGCAGGCCCATCGGCAGCAGGTAGAGCAATCACCGCAAATCCCGCCGGAGAAGCAGGTCATGTGGGATGCGGACCTGCTTCCTGGCACCAAGTACCGCACGCTAAGCGCTAAAACAGGTCACCGCTTTGCCAGCTAAGAGTGTGGGACTTCCAAGAGTCCATCGCTTGGGCCTTAAGTGATTGCTCGTAATAGTATCAAAATGCAAACAAGAATTACATTGTAAGCTGCAGTGAGCAAGCACGGCTACATGCAAATATAGAGGTGCATGCATGAGTAGTGTAGCGGCAGGCGGTTCACAGATGTTATCGTACTGGGATAATTGAGATAGGCTGGATGAAACATCAAGCTGGAAGGGGGAGGGTTATTATGCGTTTGCTTAGCTAAACAAATGCATAATAACCTATATGGTCATACATACGTGTTTATGGATACAAACGTGTTTGGCTTAAGTATGGCTTGCTTATGACTGAGTGTTTGCTTCACATTTGCTCGTAAACTTTAAAAGTAAATGAATTGCATGTGCATTTGTGTGCCAGTTAAATTTTCGACCACCTTTAGGCGACATCCTCGTATATGTATATATAGGTCAGGCACTACTGGTAGAGCACGTACTTGTGCCCCCTGAGGCTCCGGGATCGAGAACTGTTCGGGTCAAAAACTCGTCTGATGGTGGAAGGAGATAATGCCTTTAGCCGATGGATGGTGTTGACTTGGGATATAGTTGACCTGCGAGCCGATCAGGAAAGGAGTTGGGCCGTCATTGGTCCGGCACTTCCGTGGGATGCCAATGATGTGTGCTCAACCGGAGCGATCCACTGAGAAGTTTGCTTGTGTGACTGGATGAGGCTGAAATACCGGGGAAGCACTAATTATAAGGCTGGATCTCCTGGGTAGCGGCCGCAGGGTGAAGATATGACCCCCATGTCCCACACATCATATAAAAGGTGTGGACGGTCCTCACTTATTATACGAGAGTGTCGCCTATAGGTGTATGTGGGTGTATACACCGTATGTGTATGTCTCTATGTGTCTGCAGACACACAGCTGTGTGTGTGTGTCTGTGTGTGTGTCTGTGTGTGTATGGAAACTGTATGTAAATGGCTTGTTGCAAGGTGGTTGTAATGGTAGGTACATTCACAGAAATAGGAGAATCAGACTTTAGTATACACAAAGAAAAGCACAGTGAAGATACGGTGGGTACACGAACAGGACGCATGTGCCAGATCTGTCGTGCGTGTACCCACCGTGTACGGTAGATATTTAGATTAATGTAGATGGTACGTACCATCTACATGGGACGGTCGATTAAGTTGTAGTGGTGCTCCCATATGGGTTGTTGCAGGGAGGCACCATCAGTTGGCATCATGATTGTGAAAATTTGTTATGGCTTCGGTGTGATATAATGCAGTTGGGACCTTCAAAAGCATGTTTTCCCATTGGTGTGCAGCCGAAATGTCGATGAACGCATCAGAGCACGTCCAGGCACGCAGCATGAGGTGTGCAACATGACGACATATTCTGCTTCATTCACCAGCAGCCCTTCGATAGATCGTCACTCTGATGCGCAATTTAGATATTTGGAGAGAGCTGCTTAGTTGCCAGTTACTACACATTTAGCATAGGTGGATACAGTGAAATTGCGCTGCCGGGTAGGTCTGTGACATTTTGCAGTGCATAACTGATCAATAGCCTATTGTTGCCTGAGGCAACAAGTTAAAGACAGCGTCGGCTCAGTGGATGCCGTGGAGATAATTCCGCTTTTTTCCATTATAGGTGCGAAATGATTAATGACCATGTATGCAGTGCATTGTGAAGATAGAGTGTAAGGTGTGCAAGCTTGAAAGCTGCTGGCATAGCTGGCAAACGTGATGGCCGTTTATAGCTTGGCTAGCAATCATTTATACTGGTAGGTGTAGATAAATCCAGTAGTGTAGTTGAGTGGTACAGTTGAACATACAGGTACTTCAAGCTAATTGTTCGGCTTCAGCATTAGCCACGGTGAACAGAAATGATTGACACAATAATTGTCGAGCTAAACGCACGCACTTCGACCGTTTATTTGGGTTGGATGGAAAGGTGATGCATGCATGCGTCTGTAATTTTTCCACGTGACTATAGACGAACTATTTTGAGTTTTAGACGGCTCGTCTATAGAAGAGTTTTTTAGACGATATAGACGACCGTCTAATAGACGACCCATAGACGACCGTCTATACCCAGTCGTCTATAGACAGGTCGTCTATAGATTACATCTATAGACGAAGCGGATATAGACGGTTATCTATAGACAAGTCGGATATAGACACTGTCTATAGACAGTTGGGTATAGGCTATTATCTTTTAGACGGCAGTAGATGGCGGGCATCGTTCCTTATTCATGTGTTACAATCTCAAATCGTTTCCTCTTCCACCAGGGCTTCACCCACCATGTTATTCAGGTTCCGGGTCCAGGTTTGTCATTGCCATTGACACTAGCAAACCAGTGGTTGTCATCAACCTTGGCTGATGAAACCTCAACCTTGGTTGTCATCAACGACATCAATATCCACAGTATCCAAATCCATGTCTCCTTTAGGCATACACAAGGCATGCGCTTCCAGGCTCCACCCATCCCAGCATCACAAGTACTGAGTACTACTTAAACCATGAGTGCTTCTCCTTTTCCTTTTCCATAAGGACCCTGGTAAGCTCTTCCCGAGCCGCCGAGGGCTGCAAATCCTTCCGTGCCCTCACCTCATCCATCACCTCCTCACTCACAACAGGAATCAGGTCATCTGGGGGCAACCCCACCAGGTCATTCAAGACAAACTTAGGGTTCAGCTCGGCAGCTGTGTGCCCACCCTTGCTGTTACCAGTCACAACCCTGCGTGACTTCCCACCCTTCCCACTGGCACTGGGTGCCTGTGCCCCCTTGCCCTTTGGGGGCACACAGACAATGCAAACCCGCTGCAGCACTGTCTCCAGCGGTATGCAGCCGAATGATGCGGCTGGCTGGCCACTCCGCCTGTCAAGGGTCACGAGTGGGTGCAAATGTGGGATTAGTGTTTGTGGGGCTGTCAGTGTCCCCAGGGCAGGGTTAGACCTGATCTGCCCATGCGATGGCCCTTCAAGTCAAGAACCTCCTGCTTCTGCAAGACGTAGACAGCAACAGAATGACAAATACTACAACATGTGCTTATACTTTGGCCCAAATAGACTCTGAGGTCACTCACCAGGCAGTTGCTCTCGTATTCGTCATCGTGTGCAGCCCCCCTGGCCGTGACAATGTTGAGCTTGCTGGTAACCTGCAGGAGAGTACAGAAGCAAGTGACAAGCAGTGAAGCGTAGCAACTGGGGGGGTGTAGCCTGCTGACTAACCTGCTGCTGTATGGTCTCCATTTTCTTGTTGGTGAATTGGTAGCTGGCCCGCAGGGTTTTGACATAGCTTTCTTTTGGGCCGGTTGTGGTCAGGTCGGTCATGCCATACTGTCTAATGTCCCTTGCTTGCGTCCTTGAAGGGTGCCAGGGCCACATCAAGAAGGTCAAGCCCGTGAGTCAACGCGGCATAGCAGAATGTATGACCGGTCCTTACATAGCCAAACACGCAAAAGGCAACGACTTGAACGCCGAACAAACACCAAAACAGCAAGATAAGCCTGAAAGTTTTCCTGATAAAGGCGTTTGGGATGGCGGTGCTGTTGTCGGTAATGCATCGGCAATGGTGTTGCTGCCAGCGGCGACCGATGACACGGGCGCCATTACCCCTGCCTTCCATGGCGGTTGTGATCAGCATAAGCGCAAGCTGTCACCCAATCAGCTCGACAACAATGAATGCGGCGAGGCGCCCAACCCGAGCGCTCGCAGTGCCAAGCGGGCTCAGACACAGCACATTGATTTGCTATGCGGTTGCTTGTTTTGGGCCTTTGCTTGGTCGGATTTACTTTTTGTTCACAAACAGTGCCAGAACTATCTATGCATGTGCATGAAGAGTGCGCACATGAACGAAAACGCGCCAACTCAGTGCGTGCCTCTTGGTCTATGAGGGGAGTTGTAACTTATCGGGGGGGGGGGAGTCTGGGGGGTGTGTAGCCCCCCCCAGCGCCCCACTCTTAAGGAATACATTACGGCGACGCTAGCAACTTTGTTACTTAGGTTGGAATAAATTGAGACCCCCCCTAAATGAAAAAAAATCACTGGTTGGAATGGCTGTTCATCACAGCCTGTGCTGGTGAGAGTTTTCAAAACCAGCCGGCCTGTGCTGGGAAGTTGCCAGACATTGCAGTTATAAAGGACCATGACGAGCCTTTGTTGTGGGCTTGTCGATGAGGGGTGGGCTTCACTGAAGTCTGCCCAATTATCTCAAACTGCTACAGTTTTGTGGTAAGGAAGTGGGAGAGGCTGGGCACTGCCTGGTCCCCACAGCATGTGCTGGGGTTTTGTAAGTATGGCGATAATCGTGGCCAGTGTTAGCCTGCCAGAACCTTGCCAACATTGATGCAGAACAGACATCAGCTCAGCGGCATGGTTTAACCCAAGCAGACACTCTCCAGCATATTGAACTCCTCTCACCGTCTACCCATCGTCTATTCTTCGTCTACAATAGATGAATCGACTATAGACGACATGTATAGACGACTCGACTTTAGACGAACTATTGTAGATGACTCGTCTAATAGACGGGTCTTCAGGATATAGACGACCGAAAAAAATACAGACGTGCACGTGCACATGATCCATGCATGGATCGTATATCCTTCAGTAGCGAGGACGGCAGGGGGACCCACGCAGCATCCGGGGATATCCTGCAGCATCCAAGGATGCTGCGTGGGACGAGCATAAGAGAATTTTGTACGAGGAGATATACATACAGTAGCAGCTGTGTTGCCAATACCGTGATTAAACTGGTCCTGTCGGGTTGTGTAGATCAATTATGCGCATCCTCAGACTCATCTGTAAAATTGACGAGCATCTATAGACCATATATCTCAGCCCTATCTTTTATACCATATGGTACTATGCATGGCACGATTAGTGTCAGGGTAGGGGTAAGTGGTTACCCATGTGGGTTTGTACGGAGGTAACCTAATCCCGGGGTAGGGGTAACCCCTTACTGAGGGGTAACAAAGGGGTCGGGGTAATACACTACTGACGTGTAACAGACAGGGTAACCCATGTTTACAAGTGTGCCTCGACTGAAACCTTCACCTGCCTGCATGTGCATGCACAGCTGTCTCATCCGTCTATGTGAGCACATATGCCTGTCTCACCTGTATGTATGTCGTTACAGGGTGGTTAAGCTTTACCAGCGGCCCCTTTTCCCGAGGCAGTTCCCTGCTCTCCCCTGCGAGAGGGGCACCCTAATCCGTTCACCCCATCCGTCTTCAGAATGTATTCGTTGGGTTCAGCAACGCACCACCAGCATCCAACCAAATCTAGCGGATCAACGGCGCGTCAACTTAGTTCCTGGTCAGCTCGCATGTAGCAAGCTACATTTCCCTTAGAATATTTTAACGATTACTTTTAACAATAACTGTTAATTTGTAAAACGATCTAACTCAAGTTTCGTACATGTTCCGAGCTTCGTCACATGTCACGAACTGGGTAGCTGTTAGTAAGCGAATCTAACGGGATGGGGCCCCGGGCCCCACCAACATTATCCTAGTACGGCAAGGTCCGTAGTAGAGATTATCCGGCAGGTAGGCCGAGATATAAGCTACCCGGGCGGGGTGTTCTGGCCAGACACTGACGTATCACATTACTAGGTGTTCGGAGTTCAAGACTCCGCTGCCGCCGTCTCTAACTGTTACGTACACATCTTATGTACGCTAGTGCTTGCCGCTTGGTTGGACTTCTTCCTACAACGACGAGGACCAATAACTCCACGCTTCCGCTCTGTCAGTCCTCCCGTCAGGTGAGCGACTGCTACATCGCAAGTTGCGCTGCAGCAAGACGGTCAATGGTGTTGGTCTGTGCACCCTAGCATGCCATCATTTTCGCCACCAAAAGCACCAGTATAATACTGGTCGTTGTCAACTCAAACTTGACAGGTCTATTGGACGCGAACACACTGCGTGCATCAGCAGGTGTTGTGGCTGCAGAACGCGTTGAGGACGAGCTGCATGTCTCAGTGAATAATGCCACGCCTAGGGCGATGTGCGGGTTAAGCACTCTAGGGACCTTGGCTCCTGAGGGCGCGAGATAGATGAATATGATTATGGTGCGTACTATCATGGCAGAGGGCAACCCCAGTTGTGGCAATGTTTTTCTCGGAAGCCTAGGAGACCCAGCATCATGCGCAGCATGATGCTGCGCTCAGGCACAGCAAGCATGACAGGCAAGCAAGGGAGGACGGCAATGTTGGATCACAGCACCACAACAATAGCTATCGACCAACAACAATTGCCTGCCCCCGGGCTCTTATGGACAGCCCTGTACTTCTACGGCATTGGAACTTGTGACTTGCTTAACCATTGGAAAAGCAGCTGCCATAGCCTGCTGGAACGAACACTTCCACGATAGATACATATGAGGTGAAGGCCTCTTGTTAACTTTGCTATGCTTTGGCATTGCGGCAACATGCAAGAGGCGGCGCATTCGTACGTCAGTTTGAGTGTTTCCATGGAACGCATATCCAGCATGCGCCGATGTAAAAGCCATTGCAGCTTCCATCCGTCATCGTGGGCTTACAAATATCAGCCGCTTCTTACAGCGACAGCAGTACAACGCATTGCCAAGGCATTGGCAAAGCGACATTTGCTGTGGTGGCAGCAAAAACTGCAACCCCGTCTTTAGCTGCTTCTGACAGCACATCGAGATTCCTTGCTCACTATGTTTCCTGAGGTCCAGGCAGTCATCAGGTGTAGGATGCTCGCAAACTGCACCATCTCTGCCCAACAAGATCAACATCCCCAAGAACCAGCGCGCACACACCTACAGGTTCTGCGCCCAAAGTGTGTTGGTTGTCTCGCTGCAACGATCAACCAGCTAGCCTAGCCGACGACCATGTCCAGATTTGTTGCTACTACTACCCGCCCCATACTATCCCACAACATAAGCAGCAATGCACCATCATAATGAAAGAACCTGCCTATTCACCAGCCCATAACCAGATATTCTCCGGCATGAATTAAGCTACATCAAAATAAACCCCTCTGTCATGGATCAACTACAGCAGAGGCCTGAAGATAATTCCCAGTTCTCCACCTCCAGGCACCGCATTACAGCGGCAGGGCTTCAATCTGACGGTGATCCTGTACATGCTCACAACTGACTGTCGTCAGCCATGCAGGCCGGCCGGCCTACTTGCCCCGATGATGGTGAGCACCTTCACTGCGCCGGTCACCGATGTTGGTGGCTCCAGAGGTGGTGCTAAATATCTCATTGGTGATTACGATAGCCTTGTCTCCTGCTGCATCACCCCTGGATGCGGCTGTCTCGTCACTTTGTGCTGAGTCGCTCTCGTACAGCTGTGACTGTTGGCCGAACAGGTATTGATACATGAAGGGATGTACAGCGGGCCAACGGGTGTTAGAATTTTTCCCGAAGTTGGGCTTTCCCAAAAAGTGTCTTATGCCTGTAAACGCTAGATATTTGCTGAATAATTTAAATGTATGTGGTGACAAGCTGAGTTCATCATCGATTGAGGGTAAATGATGTACTGAATGCACAACAGCACCTGTAATGGCGATGGCTTACACAGGCAATCTACCCATCGATAGGCCACGCACCTTTCGTTTTTTCAGGAAGACGGTGATACCCACAACCGCACCGACACCGAACACGCCAACGATAACCCCCACAACTGGGGCGACGATGTTAGCCTTCTTCTTGACCTCCTTCTCCTCGGCGGATTCAGCATACTGCATGCACAGGCAAGACGCACACACCACTGGCAATTGGCTCATGAATATGGTAGAACGGAGCACCGGCTGCTAACAGGGCCAGAGCAGGCCTTACTTTTGCCTCTCCGTGCAGCAAGGGAGCAACTGGCGGTCTTTCCAGACATGTGTCGAACATGCGTAACGGGTCTATGTCAGTAACACCCACCATTGACCAGGTCTTTTCCCAGCAGCCCATGGGTACCCACAAGATGCTGCGCGAGACACGGATCACAACTTGAAATGGAACGACTACCCCTTTCTGCCCACCTACCGTGTAGCCATTCTGAGCCCAATCGCCGTCAAAAGACCCAAGAGGGCAAAGGCCGGCAAGTTTGCTGTTCACTGAGTTCCAAACGTTGACCTTGAACTCGTAGTACGGAACAGTGGGGTCGCGCTGCATATTCGAGCATGTGCGGGGTCCACGCAAGGATACACGTCAGCTTCTGACAATTTGATAGGGAGAGGTTAAAGTGCCATGCCTATTAGTGTAGTAGCTGACCGCTGAAAAGGCCTCCCAAGATGCTGGTCAAGCGCTTCGCGCGTACTTATAATTCTTATGTGTGCCGTACTGTGTACCAGCTACTACATTTCCCTCCCTTTGAAGGGATCCGTCTCGGGCCCTCACAGCCACGTACACCAGCCGGTGCCTACCCTCGGGCTGTGGGCGAGCAGTCCATGTCACGTCATGTGCTGAACACACATGCGCTTAGCCGTCTGTGTACCAGCTACTACAATTAGCTGGGATTACATTTAGTGAACATCGGCGGCCCGGGGTGCCAAGTGGCTGGTACGTTCTGCCTGTTTAACAGACATACCATCACGTACATGCGCTTAATTGGCTCCTATTTTCCGCAGCACGCCAGCGCTCACCTTAATGTTCACGGTGTAGGATGGACTGTTAGCACCGCAAACCTGCAAGGGATAATCACCGGTGGGCAAGGTTGGATACTAGAAGAACAAGCATAAGAAACCTTCTACAAGCTTTCTAGGAGTGGACTCGACAAAAGCAGGCTCGAAGCTCCAATCTCACGCAGGCTGTATGTTGACTTGCATTTTATTACAAAAACGGAAAGCAAGTGCCCTACCCGGTGCGCAGTGTTAACCCAGGTAATGTACTGCTGCTGCAAAAGAGCAGCAAAGATTTAGCAATTAGACGCACTTACGTCAGCTAGATTGCTATCTCCAGTGTCAGTCGAATCTTGGCCATCCGTGTCCTGTAAGAGCCGCCGGCTGCCAGCACCATTCTTTGGCCACTCGCAAGTGACTGTGACGTTCTCGGTAGGTAGATTGAGAGCAGTCGCCAGCTGGCCTCTCATGCGCTCCATGGAGGTCGCGTCGCACAAGGCAAAGTATGGCGAAATCCTCTGCATCAGAGGGGAGCATGAACAGGATTTTGGGTGATCCCCCACAGACCAGGGAAAACATTGCCTTAATGGTTTCGTTGAACACAGTTGAGATGAAATAGGCGAAGAAGTGAGCGAGTGGGTCACTCGCTGCGGATTGTTCGTTATTACCCTATTAATTCACATGTCCTGACAAGAAATATCTGTCTCTCTACTATTTCACTTACGCGGAAGCTCAGCGTCGTCTGCAGGAACTGCGCCGTGACAGACTTCTTGGGTGGTGCAAGAGCCTTGGGAGGGTTTGGAGGGGTCGGCGGCATTGGTGGGGGGCTGGGCGGCGATGGTGGGGGTGGGGGACCGGGTGGCGGCGGCGGCGGGGGTGGTGGTGGCGGTGGCGGTGGCAGCGGTGGTGGTGGCGGGGATGGTGGCGATGGGGGCGCCGGAGGCCGGGGCGGCGGCGACGGCGGCGACGGGGGCCTTGGTGGAGATGGTGGCGGCGGAATCCTGCATTGGGATGAGCAGTCATCACCGTCCAAGAGGTTGCCATCGTCACACTCCTCGTTCGTGTCTACAACCCCATCTCCACAGCGCTCGCAATCCGGATCTTCCTTGTCCACCCAGGTATCACCATCGTTGTCCACGCCATCATAGCAGTTCTCGGCCGTCAGCGTGGCTTTCGTATTGCAGAGCACTGCACACGCATGAATTTAGTCACAGCATTAAGACAGGGCATGCGCATGAACAGGCAACAGCAAGCGGTAGGCGGTGAATGCAATGCAGTAAGTGGACACAAAGCCTTGAATTTGTGTTCTTTCTGCAGTAATGAAAAGTGATTCACGCACTCTGCCTGGTAGATAAACATTAGCTGGAATGCATGTAAGTAGCATTTGCATCAAGCAGCTGCAGCTTGCAGCTTGCTGCGTATCCTAATTATGTGAGCCTAACCATGTGTGCTAACTTGTGCACAACTTGTGCAACTTGCTTTGATGAAGCTCATCCTCTGCTGCTTCTAACAGTGCCTTTAAGGACGAAAACCTATGACCTCTTGTTATTCTATCGGCCCTAGCATCGCTTACTATAGCGTTCCTGGAAGCAAGGTTTGTACATTGCTCGTGAAAAAAATCATCGACTGGACGTTATAATTATGACGTGATCCATTAAGTTCGTTTGGTGACCACAGTACGTACCTGTAGCCTGGCAGTCCTGGTTTTTGCCCTGTGGAGTTGGGCACATGCCAGTCTGATAGGCAACAACACGGAGGCCGCTCCAGTCTACTGGGCCGTAGAAGAAGCCAAGCCACTGATGGTCCGAGCTGCATGTTAAGGGGTATAAGAAGCAGGGCGTCAACGTGACAGGCATGCCCTTGCATTCACCTGCTGTCCAAATGAGAAACTCATCTATCAATATCGTGCGCTAGTATAAATTTAGATAGGAACGGTCTTTATCCAATGTACCAGGGCACAATCTATAGATGCATAGCGTGCAAACCAAAAACACGATACCCCCATGAATACCGCTTTGTACTACATATGCTTATCACGCAAGCGGGAGACTTACATAGTGTTCTTCTGGGTGCTCGGGGAAATCAGCGACATCTCATTCGTTACACTGACATCCGAGAACCAGCTTTCCTGGTCGTAGATAAGTGTGGTCTTGAGGGGCGCCGGGAAGAAAGGGTAGGACGCCTCCAATTCATCAAACATTACCGGCTGTGCAAGTGCAATCAAAGACCCGCCTGCGTGAGGTGGAAGGAATAATGTGGTTTATTAAGCGGTGGTTACATTGAAGAGGCAATGAACTCCCGGCATTCGTCGCGACAGCGTAATCATAATTGGGGGCCGTATGAGCAACTTCTGACTTGGCTAGCGTGTTGGCGGCAAAGGATAATGTCGCTCTACATAGTATGTGTGGAAATGTACATATGGACGGATGTTTCAACGGATAAAGCCGACTTCACTATCGTACTTACCATTAAGGTTGACGAAATCAGCGATTCCTCCTTTGATGGCCACCAGGGCATTCACCATGTCGGCCGATATGCCGCCTTGGACAACCCGTTCTCCCGATGGAACGAATAGGAGCTTATAGGTGCTGATGTTGTACGACTTAACCGCCGCAGGGTTGGTCACGTACGTGATGATGGATGGGCTGTATCCCGCGGCCTTCACCCAGCCGTCAAGTGCTGTCCTTGCAGCCTGAATAAGCATAAGAGGTCGCACACGTCGCTAAATGAGCCTGTCACAACATTCCTGTGTATCAAGATGTCCAGGGTATCACTTCAACAACGATGGCAGCAAAAAGCAACGGGCTATTTACGTCACCAATTTTGCCTAACAAATAATGTCATAAACATCGATGTTATTCGCGATGATAAGGGAGTCTACAAATGTACAATATGTAACAAGTTGTTGAAGCAGGGGTATGGCGGCAGATGCATACGAGTTCTCAGAAGCTGCTTAATTGGACTCGGGTCATCGGTGTCGTGGGGATGGCATGAAGCACATTCCATGAGCCGTGGGGCCTTACGTATTCTGGTTGTGTGATTGTTGTCACCATAACTTACTGAGCCTGGTGTGTAGGCGCCAAAGGCTAGGATGCCTCTAGCTTCCTCTGGGGCAACTTGCAGAGCCTTTTTGATCATATTGGGGTACAATGCACCGCAATCCGTCCCCCGGCAAAGACGCTGCAGGTGCAAGGCATACAAGGACAAGGTGAGCAATAAATTTAGGCGTGGGGTTGATGGTCAGCATGAAGGGAGAACCGACAGCAGGCAAGTATGTGAGATTGCCGAGGCAAAAGTTTGCCGAGCAGACACCAAGCTCTACGTACACATTTGGTGTACATCTAAAACAGGTAATTCTTGACACACGGATTCAGGGTTAGATAGAAGGCGTGAAATCAGAAAGGCTTGAGTACGTTTTAATGTACGCAGTTCACAGACACTGACATAAGAGTCGAACATGTGCATACACATTGGAAAGAAATATGTTTAGTAGGTGCATCCTGAATATGATCCAGCACACATGCATGCCGGATGCATGCATAAGTATTGGCTCCATGCACACATGTTTGGTATGGCAACCTTAAGGTGGCGGTATGGCTGAAGCTTCAGCCCTATCGCAAGCATCATTTGTTGGTTGCACCTGTCATGTTGCTAGGGCTCGTCTGCCGGCAGACAGGCGCCTGTCTTTCCATCCCGGACATGCGTGTAGCGTGTCTATTGTCAGCAATATGCCCTGGCCATCGATGATAAGCACAGGAAAACATGTTGTACGAGCCAAGGTGGCAGGACCCGTATCTTGCACATATAATTTCCAGAAGCCATCATTCAGCCAGTCAGGTATCAAGTCTTTGCAGCAATCGAAAACCCACCTCAGCTGCATCCATGCTGGCGCAGACGAAGCCGCCCTTGTCCATGGTCTCAATCTAAGTTCAGAGTGCACACGCAAGTAGTGTCCTTTAGTTGGATTGAAGGAATGAAGTAATGAAATGTGCAATCCAATGTACATGAAGCCCGGCACGCAGTGGCGTCACGAAAAACGCAAGGAAACTAGGAAGACATTCAGGCAGGAGCTAGGCAGGCAGCAACGCTGCAGAAGGCAGACAGTTAATAGGATATGTGGCTAAACATATTTATGTATGTAGGTGCTGTCCTGCTGAAATTATGTTCGAACCTGTCGTAAGCATAAACCTATGCACGTATGCGCACCGTCGGTGCGCCTTGGGAGGATTATTGCTTTCCCTCCTGGGAGGCTTTGGTATTTTTGAGATGCGCGCTTGTCGTGAGCCAGGACTTACCACACCAATGCTGGCCCAGGCAAGTTGTTGGAGGGCAATAACTTGAAGGAAAACCGAGCACCACAGCAGTCGTCGGACCGCTGTTGCGCGACTTGCGCCTCTCCACGACGTTGATGTCATGGAAGGCAATTATCAGCCGTTGCTACTTGCGTTCCTACCTGCGGCATGCATGTCATGAATCAGTAAGGTGGAAACGTATCGCCGTAAAGTCGCTCGGCAGGTAGGTTGGCAGGCATATACAGATAATCCTAAAAATATTGTTTGCTTCCATTTTTATGTATATTTGAAGGTTAATGGGGTCCCTTCCCATTCGCTTACCAAGGGAAAACTAGGTAGAACGAGACACTCTTCGCAAGTAGGTCTCTGTATCCGAAGACACTTAATAACTTATCAAGAAAATTTTTATTTGTTTATGATATAAATAATTTGTCGCTATGCGCTTATGTTTTCTATCATATGCTTAGGAAGGTAAGAAACGACACAGGTTGAGAGGCGTACTCGTCAGGGCTTTAAATGAAAATTATAGCAAGATAAATCGAACCGTATAGGTATAATTAACGTGTTTCAAATAAGCAGCAAGGTTGGTGGCTTTTATACTCAAGGTAAGGCACAGGAACGGCATGCTTACTAAAGGAAGTCCGAACGGACACAGTACGGGAGTCGTTTCGACCTCCTTAACCGCAATGACTGACCCTTTGGAAGGTAGCGAGGTAGCGCAGGTCCCTATCGTGCTACTGAAGGTAGACGGCATTAGCAGTGGGGCTAGCGAGTTGCCTTGAAATGTTTCGCCGGTTTCATTTGTGAAAATCTTATATTACTTGAATGGGGGAATGAACGTGAACGTGACATTCTCACATCTAGAAAATCAAGCCAATCGTACCAACAGATGCATTTACGCAAGGGAAGAGATTAACCATAACCGATTGTCGTTCAATCAACCGTTTGAAAGTCATCATAAGTACTGACGACGTACTTTCTACCGATGAGACACACAACCTCAGTAAGATCGCACATCTACCAATCTGGCCTTCAGTTGTTAATGCATGCCTATATATTCAGCAGTTGGGCAAGCCGAAGCAAGTTGCACACATGTTGTACTCACATATCGCTACTATATTACTACTGCTACGTTCGGTTGCGTAAGACGCAGCAAAAAGGTACTGCTGCACGTTGCATGTTCAGTAGATGTTTATCACGTCTTCATGTAATGTCAGGACAACGAATCCCTATCTCGGTCGTGCCGCTGAGTTCCACATGGGCTGGATAATGAGATGCGAGAAGGAATGATGTCATGGAGCTAAAAGGCTGTGTGTGTGGTGGTTGTTACAGTGGGCTCTAGACTCACGAAGAGTAGAGCGGGCCAATATAAATGTCCATGTACTGCACCTGAGACGATCATGGCAAACAAGGCACCCACCCAGACCAGACAACGCAAGTTACCTAGCTAAAACCCTAAAACTCTAGCACACACACATATACACACATATACACACACACACATACACACGGACATGGGGAATCCTACAGGGCGGGGGGCCCCTGGGCGCTTCACGCTGGGGCCCCGCCCAAAAAACAGCCCAAAAAACAAAATTAAACTACATAACAGTCCGTGAATCAACTTGATAACGCTCGGACTGAGGTTGCCATTTCATGTACACGCGCACAGCACACGCATGAAATAATGGAATAATAACAACGGTAACGCAGACATACAACACTAATTCAGGACTTTAGAGTCAGAAGGGCTAAAGATATTAAGATTACGGATGTTTTCTGCTGGAACGTATTTCTGCTGTTTTCTTGAGTAGTTGCCTTACCACTTAGGGGTCGTACAGACGGAGGGGTACCCGCAGGCAGGGAAGTTGTGCTTGCTTCCGTGGGAGGGGGTGAGCCTGGTTACCGAGCGACTTTGCTTCTGAACGCTGTAGATTAGGGCAGAAGCCGCAGCGGAAACCTGTCAATACTGACATGATGAACTCGCGAAATTACTCTTTCCGTCGCACTGCTGCGACTTACTCTAGCCCTGTACGGTCCAACCGTACGCACTAACGACATTCAACCGAGTACGCTCTCGTCAAATACACAGAAAACGTTGGTTTTCTTTCGTTTCATTCAGAAAACCTACAGTTATATTTCTGCTTTTATTGCCATGCATGAAAGCTCATGTGTAATGGCTGCTGCTCCGCTGTCCTGCGGCACCCGGCAATCAGAGTTACCCTCGCTTTGATTGTGCGTACGTTGTTATGAGCATTCCGTTAAATACGGTAATGACTAACATATTCTTATTACTATTACTTGTAACGCATAGGCGGAACAACTCCTGCCGTACTATCGTACGTCATACCCCAACAAGGGTATATCCTTACTTTGGTTAGTTCCGTCTAGGCGGACATTTGGTTGTCAAGAACCAACTAGGCACTTCACTCGTATAATCGTTTCCGCTTCCCTTTTTATCGTATCTCGTCCTTACTCTCCTCATTACATACTTAGTCATTTTTAGAACTGGCTCGCTCACACTTCTGTTTGCCGCTGCTATGTAGCCAGCTGCTGGGCGAGAAGAAATTCCGTCCGGAGAGGCGAGCTATCGTTCAACATTACTCCGGAGATTACTAGTGGATCCACTAGTTGTCAATGCATGTGTTTATTGCTCTGATCGGTACCCATACACGGCCGTTCGCCCAAACCCTCACCCTTTTGTACGGGCATACATGATATGTGACAGCTAACGACTGCACACCTCACCTCCAAAGAACTAGGAAGCAAGCACTCAAGATACAAGCTAGCCGAACATGTTCTCGTCAATTCGTCATGGACTGCTGTATTCCGGACCTACATAACTGCATCTTATGGTCGTATGTGTTATACCACGACTTTACAAAAGTACTGATCAGTGGAAGCAGACCTCGTGGTATGCCCAGAATACAACAACATGCTTGCATATTGCTTGAATCTACTCATCCAAAGCAAACTCAACCATAAACAGCGGCCAGCCATATGGCAATGCATGGTGCATACGTAAACAGGTGGGAACAACAGACACTGTTTCATTATCCAGGCAAAAGCAAGCAGAGTACACAAGCGTGCACACACACACGCACATACACACACATACACACACACTGTAGTAGCTGGTGCACAGTGTGGCACCAGCATCTCAAGAGGCCTTTTCAGCGGCCAGCTACTACACACATATGTACACCCACATGTACACACACATACATCAATACAGGCAATCTCGTTTCACTGCGCTTTTGAAGGGTTTCCAGCACTGCCGCGATGTGCAGTAGTGGCTGTTAGGATACGAGATTCATTAGCCTTCATTTGGTCGACTAATGTCTTTGCGACAGCCGCTTGGGAGGCTGGCGTTTTTGTAGCTTGTGCTGGGATTGTTGCTGACTTTGTGGTTGGTGCTGGTATTGCAAGTGCCTTGGTGGATGGCGCTGGGCTGGCTAATGCCTTAGTGGTTAGTGCTGGGTTGGCTTGTGCCTTGGCAGTTAATGCTGAGACGGTCTGCAACTTGCTGGCCATTGACTGAGAGCCTGCCAACAGAGTTGTAGGTGCCGGTAAGGCTGCTATTGGCGTCCTAGCTGCGGATACTGTGGTAGCTGGTCTCTTGGTGGCTAATGCTTGGGTGGCTGGTGCAGGGGATGTTGGTGCAGCGGTAGGTGGTGCCTTGGCAGTTGACATTAAAGTGGCTGGTGCCAAGGTAGGCATAGGCGTCCCTGATGCTTGAGTTATAGGCTCAGGGGTATTAACTAGTGCCTGAGGGGCTAGTCTCGGGCCAATTGATGCCTGGATAGCTGATACATGGGCAGCAGCTGATGCTTGGGCAGCTTGCACACGGTTGGCTGGTGCATGAGTGACTAGCGCCTCACCAGCTTGTACCTGGGCGGCAGCTGGTGCTTGGATGGCTGTTGCACGTATGGCTGGTGTTGGGGGGCCTGGTGCTTGGGCGATGGCTGGTGCCTCGGCTGGTGTACGGGTACTACCTTGTGCCTGGGTGGATAGTGCCTGGATTGCTGGTACCCGGATGGCTGCTGGTGCTTGGGTGGCCGACGCCTGCACTGTGCCAGCTGCTTGGGTGCCTGGTGCCTGGTCGACCGGTACACGTCCAGCTGGTATTTGGGTTGCTGGTGCCACAATAGCTGCTGTTGGGGTAGCTTGCATGTGGGCGGTTGATGCTGGTGCTGTTGTCGTTCTAGGGGGATTGCTGTATGTGTAGGGTTTCAGAGCTGCAACCCGTAGTGGCAATAGGGGCCGAGGTCCAACATGTTCACCGCCATCCATCATGTCGGTTGCTGCCGTATAATGAGGGGCTTCTTGTCCGGTCAGCTGACGGCCGCTCACAGAACGTTTCACGCAATTGATGCAGCTCATGATGGCCGGAACCTGGAGGCAGATTCAGTAGCATGTTAGTATGAAGGTCCTTGGGCTATCTGTGCCATCATGATAGCTAGTCCGCCTATCTAAATCCCAGTACTGGTGCCACTAATGGCACCTGAGACCCACGCAGAACTCCATCCCGCTTTCCTAGACAAATCCATTACAACACATATGCGGCCACATAACCACGGAGAGCGTGTGCCCTTGTAGCCCCAATCCAGAGGAGACTGGATACATTGTCCACTTCTGGGTGATTTCATGAATGGTGTTCACATACGATCTGTCCCTCTGACGGTGCATGGACCACAACATCTCCATTGTTGCATAAAGATGGCCAGGGTTGCTTGGGGAACTAAAATACCATCCTTTTCGATTGCCAGAAAAGCCATTTTCTAGGGAAGAGGATTTAGGATCGCATGGTCCAGGTCGCCCCGGGGTTTCCGGGGTGCGGGTTGGGGTGCGAATGATGTCTTTAGGGAGTGCAGCGAGGATAGCGCAGGGTCCGAGTCCCCCCCCAGCTGGTTTGTGGCGCTGTGGCAAAGTTAACAGTTTACAGCCTTACACTCTGGGAAAGGTTTTCACCCGTAAATTCATGTTTACCCGTAATCACGTGGTCTTCACATGTAATTACCGGCCAAGAAAATTTGTTAACATGCTTATTTTTAAGTTGCCAAAGCATTCCTTTTATTAATTAGGTGCCTGATGGCACCTGAGAGGATGCTTGAAGGCGGGATGGT